GCTGGAGGGTGATATGGCCGCTGATATAATGGATCAGAACAAATGTAATTATTGTTATGTAACTGTTGGTTTTTTTAAAAAACCTTTATCTAGACGTGTGCACATACAGTATACTGTTTTGTGTATATATACACGATTGTAAAGTTTTCTTTTTGTGATTCCCCGTATTCGTTTGTGAAAAGAAATGAAGTTCTCAAAAATGGAAATCAGGTTTCTAGAGCTTTATTCATTAGGAAACCGGTGCACCACTGAACGTGAAAAACAAAAGCAGAGCAGCTTATTCAGTTCTAAGTTTCAATGTCTGTGTCAGCCTTAGCCCTTCTCATGTCACAGTACTTGCAAGCACCGAAATCCCCAAATACAGCGAGTATCCCGGAGGATATGGAAGGGACAGCGAGTTTTTGCACTGTCATATAAGAATAAATGTCTGGTTCCTGCAGAGTCCACCATGTCCTCCACTCTGAGGCCTGTGGTGGGAGGGTTCAATGATGACAGCAGTGTTCCTGCCACTTTCCCCTCCAGGGGAAACCAGGTCGCTGCTGTCAGTGTTGTTGGTGAACCACTAGGTGGCGCTCTTATTCCACAACCAACCCAGAAGTTCCAAGCCCGGGTCCCAGTGAGGTGATCCTGGGGCTCCTGAGGTGTTTACGTAGGGTGAGATATTATTAAACAGAGCTCCTACCTACTCGGGCTTTAAAGGTCCAGGTGAAACAGCTGCCATTACTCCTTGACTTAACAAAGCCTAGACTGTTAGACTGATAGAAAACCTTCCTCCTTACTTTAAGATCTCTTCAGCCTGCAGCTCCCTCGCTGCCGAAAGACACCGGTCTGTAACGTCTGTAATGATTTTGTCCTGCCGCGCGATGCAGGGCCCCTGTTCTTTACTGCTTATTTCGAGAGCGCTGTTGCACAGCACATCGTCCGGTTCTGCTGCCTTTCGCCGTTTCCTTACTTGTGCTTCTGTGGATTGGTTTCGACCCACTCTCGCAGGCCGGGCCCGCTACGTCTCTAAAGAACACCTGGCCGGCTGGACAGCTGCAGTACCGCAGGCGTCCACTAAGGGTCTTATTTACTGGCAGCCCGCTGAAACATCAACACCGAACAGGTGTGGCAGTTCGCTTTTCAGTTCAAGTCTTCGGACAGTTTCAGGTCGACGACAAATTCCACGTGTACGAAACGCTTTTCTGCACGCCGCCAGAGTGTACAGTATTAACAATTTGACTTTTTTCTTTACAAATAAATGGTTGCAATACCCAATTAGGATATGTGAACTACATCTCGGATAAAAACGATCTACTGCTCCAGTGCTGCGGTTTTAATAAGCAATTGCGTTGTACGCGAGCTCGGCTCCTCTATTAGACCAGGTGGGCAGCTGCGTCAGCATGCGTAGGCTGCAAAGGAACAAGTAAGAGGCTGATTCCATGCTGAAAAAAAAAGAAGAAAGAGAACACAACGTTTCGGCCGTGGAGCCTTCTTCAGGTGTCGAAACATAGAAAGGGAAAGGAACATCTTCTCAAGAAGAAGGACACCTGAAGAAGGCTCCACGGCCGAAACGTTGTGTTCTCCTCTATTAGACGACTGGGTGTAAATTCGGGCTCAGGGTTGTATTTTCTGCTCTTGTATAATGTTTTTTTCCCCCACCACCACGGGATTGTTGCGTCCTTCCCAGTTTAAATGCCGACACAGCAGAAACATTCACCGTGGGTCAGCGGGCCTCCGAAACCCAGACTCCAGCTGGTTGAACCTCCCCAGCTCCAGTCTGCTGGACGTCTGGGATTGCAGGGAACGGTGTAATTCAAAGTTTTGCATTGATTAGCACCTGTTGTCTCTCCGGCCTCCTCCAATATCACTGAGCACCGCGCCCCATCGCTGCTGCGTATCGCCTTTTGCCGATGTCTCGCTCCCAAATCCACTTCTGCTGTTCGCAACATTTCTGGGTGAAGTCTGGTAACGTCTCTTTACGCGCACGGGGCGCAATGTAAAGAAAGTTGAAGTGTAAAAGTAAAACTGGCTACCCGTTTTCCGGAAACATAGAAAGGGAAAGGAACATTTTCTCAAGAAGTTGTTTTAAACGATGATGCACTATGCCGAACAAGGCTCTGCTGAATTTCTCGTGCAGTTCGTCTCGGACACTGACGAGCCGACCGCCAGCGTGGAAGAGTCGTGGAAGAACAGCAGCGTGTCTACCACAATTAAAACACATCGATTAAACTCAAACTATTAAACCACCATCATACTCTCGATATTTGTCTAGAAGTCGAATTCTTTCTGAAATTATAGTTGTCTTTTTCTCGGGTCGTGGCACTGAACCCGAACTGCCGAACAGCGGTGGGGGAATTCAGGTCTGAAGCGTCACTTAACGTCCCGGAGACGCTGACTTCGGGACCCGTCATTCAGACACAGTGGGGAAAGTGGTGTGGACAGTCCTCCCCGACTTCTGCGAAAGGACCCGAAAAAACCCCGATGTTTCGAGTGCACGATCAATACACGACATTTAAAAATAGGAAGTTTCCACAAGGAATGTTCTTAACTGGCGCACAAGTGGGGCCCAATGCGATCTTAATCATACAGCGAATTAGTATTTAAATTATAATTTTATTTATTTTCGACAATAGCCCTTACATATTTGTGCTCCGCAACAACAGCAATATAATATTCCGTGAAAATACGCACGCGCTAAATCCTTTTCTATTGCTATAATCGTGCAGCTTTATTAATTTATTTTTTAATTTAGCGCCTTTCTAAGCGCCGCTGTATCTGGAAAGATTCAGTAGAACTGCGTAATATCTAGATTTTACCATGGAGCAACTCAAATAATAGTTTACAGGCACAATAAACAGGACTGGGTTTAGTATTAATGGGTTTAACATTAATTTTGCTCGTAAAAGATTCATTCGTGTTTTGCGTATTGTGAACTATTTGGAAGAAATCTGAAATCCATGACAAATATTTATTTGTATTACAAGAGGCTGAGCGTCGCAAAAAGCGATCAGTCTAGAAATAAACCTCGGACTTTCTAGATGGTTAGAATTTAAAACTGTTGTTGCATCAGATTTGAAAGGGTCCGACTCAGGACACTGTACAGAAAATCATTCAATGCAACACCTTCCTGCCATTTCATTGCCATTAACGTAAATATGGAAATTTCCAAATTTCCGGACAGTAAACCTAATTTGGAAGACAGGATTAAAAATCAGTTTCTGGATAATTTGCGGACGCTCTCCGTGAATTATTCTTCACAATTTCGGCATTGCCGCTATTAGTAAATGGCATTTATAATATTGATTTAATTCTTTCGACATTATTGATTCGTACGGTTAAGTTTGGGTTGATGCAGTGTTTCTCATATCGCGCCGGCACTCTGTGCGCTATCCAAGCCTTGAAGTCTCGATATTGTTATCAGGCATGTAACTCAAAAGCTACTATCTAACGCTTTCGCCTTGAAACGGGCAGAGACGCGCTGCTGCAAGAAAACAGCCCATCAGATTAAAGCGATCGAGCTGTTCAATAAGATCCATTAAGAAATGTTCAAATATTCCTGGATTCATACACCCTAACCCTACAGCTTCCGTTTTGAAATGTGAGTAATTGAGTAAGAACAGGTGATGTCGATGTGGTATGTTTAAATCGTTTTAAGTCTCACTTATAGTCCCTGATGAACTTTTTTGTAATCATTCTAAAATAAAAAGAGACATTTGCAGTGGTTTATTGTAATACACGTGCGGATGTCATGTAATGTACCCTCACCATTGATGCCTTCGAGGTTTTTTTTGTATTTCAGTTGAGTATTTCCTTTTATTACAGATAGAAATGATCAATCGTTTTCATGCGCTTTTAGAATCGAGTAAAACGGCTTTATTCGGTGGTCATTCTGTAAAAGACATTGCCGCTGGCGTTTTGTGTGCTTTGCCAAATACAAATTGGCGAAAATAGTGTACGTTCTTATTGTTTTCTGTTAAACAAGTCTATCAACACGCCGACAAATAACACCCAGTCGCAAAATAAGCATACACCAAAGAATGAAATCAATAATAATTTGATTCCTTTTATATATATTTAAATAAATATATATTTTCTATTTTTACCACAGTAGTATTTCTAAAGATTTACAACGATAACCTTCCTGGGCACATTTCAAATAAATATTTCAATTGACATGCCTCTTCTGAATTAAATAGGAATATCGAGAGTGGTCAATATTGACAAGATGTACTTTCTGTAAATGTTTAGAAGACGTTGTCAAACTTTCCATTAAATCTGCCGCACCTAGCCTGGGTCCAGAGCTTGTGTCTTTTTTGTTTCAAAATCTAATTTTACAGGAATGGAAGTACGGTGTCAAATTAAGACATTCTAAGCCTGGTTTCACAATAGTAATAAGGTTTTAAGGTTGTTGTAGATTAACATTTTCAGGTAGTGTTGGGTGATTTTTAGAAAGTGACTATTCTATTTCTGTAACGGACAGATGCTAACACTTAGTCGGTATTTGAGGAGCAAACGTTTTCATTGATCTGTGGAAAACGATGTAACACTGTTAGTCTCGCAACCTGTCCTTCAAGCGATTCAGTGAAACCACAGATAGGGAAACATTAAATAATGCTGACAGGAAATATCAATATAGTTCATTGCAAGGTGTAGTCCAAGTAGCCAGAGGTCTTGCTCCGTAACCTCAATCATCCTGGAAATATTTAACAGCGAGCCGCCATTAAAAAGCAGACCACACTCCAGTCCACAGTTTTAATAACGCGTTTGGTTTTGATGCGATTTAAAACGGCATCGCTCTTGTTTCATTAGCGCAAGTATCCCTGTCGCAAACCCGCTGCGGCAAATGACGTGTTTCGCTTGGTTACAATGCACCAGGATGGCACGATAACGCGCGGATAAAGTGTATCACTTGGTCAGTCGTTTGGAGAGCCACGGCCCAGAAGTGGACCAATTACCAGCTTGTCGGCCGCAGCTGGAGGTGGAGTCCTGCGGTCACTTTGTCCTTATAAGCCCCGCGGGTGCCGGCGGTGGACATCGCAGTCGAAGCCTCCAGCGCCTCAAGTAGCCCCCCCCAGCGATCTCAAAAAAACACTCTCCACAGCCTTCACCATGGTGCACTGGACAGCAGCGGAACGTCAGGCCATCGCCTCCGTCTGGGAGAAAATCAGCCTGGAGTCAGTCGGCAGCCAGGCTCTCGCAAGGTATGCTACACCGCGCCTTCATCTCACGCTTTCCAAAAGACATCCCTGTGCAAGAAACACGCGTTGCGCTACAGATGCTGAATATCGCTCGAGGCTCATGGTGATTCAAGGCCTCGGTCTAAACGTTAGAATCGCAAGGGTGTTCCGCTCTAAACCGAGTTTGTCTGAAAATTTTACTCAGTTCTACGCAAATGCTATCGTACAGGGCCCTAAAGGCATTTGGTTCACGTTTTCCCGTTAATCTCTGTGCACCGTAGTCAAGCGAATAAGAATCGGTCTCCTGTGTCTCGGGACACTGGGAAACCTCCTCGTTTCTGCTCAATCGTGTTCACGCGCTTTGCTTCCGCAGGCTCCTGATCGTGTACCCCTGGACCCAGCGGTACTTCAGCTCTTTCGGAAACCTGTCCAGCGCCGCCGCTATCCTGGGCAACCCCAAGGTCAAGCATCACGGCAAGACCGTGCTGACCGCGCTGGGCCAGGCCGTGAAGAACATGGACAACATCAAGGCCACCTTCTCCAAACTGAGCGAGCTGCACTCCGAGAAGCTGCACGTGGACCCCGGCAACTTCCGGGTGGGTGACCCTCCTGTGTCTCGCTCAATAGCTACAAAATGATTTATGGCTACAAACAGTTCTTAAATATATATATATATTAATTGAAATATGGTAACTTTTAAGGTTTTGAGAAATAGACCGCATCCCGCTCGCAAAGTGATCCTGATGAGGATAAACGTGTTAACAGGCGCAGAGCGCGGTGGCCCAGGAAATAACTGTCTCTTTCTTCTCCCTCGATGGACAGATGCTGGGAGAGACTCTGATCATTGTCCTGGCCGCGGAGCTCGGCGCTGAATTCACCCCCGAGCTGCAGGCTGCGTGGCAGAAGCTGCTGTCCGTGGTCAGCTCCGCCCTGAGCCGCCAGTACTACTGACCCGCCCCTGGACTGACCGCCCCGGCTCTCCGGCTCGCCGAGCTGCTGCCCACTACTCACCGCCTCAGAGCAACGGCGTGCATACGCGGTTATTCGTAAATACAGTCCCACACTGTCGTGTTTCAGCGATGGAGAGAGGGCGTGTGTCAGAACTTGGAGTTTTCAACTATTGTAATAATAAACATTTACTGTTTCAACCGAAGCTTTGTTGTCTTTCGTCTTTTACATGGTCAAATTAAACAATTAAGGGCTTCTAACTTTAAATACTTTTAAACGTGGGGGGGGAGGGCATTCTTAAATGTTTCACTACTGCGATTGCAAATTTTACCAGCATAATTTATATCGCAGCCCTTGACTTGTTATAAGAGCGGTCCACCGACACATGGTTCTCGAGTCGTGCCTACGTGGTCATTAAAAACAGCCCAGGACGTTGCTCTATAGAGTTGGGGTGTGAGCCCCGAAGTCCTGACCAAAGCTCCCTCGGGACTCGGTGCTTGCACAGCCAGGACCTCTTAAAATTCCCCTTTAATCCAACCTCTTTCTCCCTCCCGCATCTAACCTGCTGTGCAGAATGGCTCTGTGTCTCCCAGGTGGGGCTGCAGCTCATGGGTAAATGGAGTGGACCCCCAGTTAGATTTATGGTGCTTTGAGATTTTTTTTTTTAGAATGAAAAAGCGCTATTAATATACAAATTCATTAAAAGCAAGAAACAGTTCCTAGCGACAGAGCAGATTGTCCTAAATTCCGATGTTATGTCCAGGGATCTCCAGCGGAATTCTGTAGCGCCTGGGTGTACTGATTAAACACTACACAGTCGAGAGCTGTCTAGAGCGCAAATGAGAATAGCAAACCCGGACCACCTGAGCTAGACTTGAGAACTGACACTTTGAAACAAACGTTTTAATAAACGCCATAGTAGTAATATGCCATTAGTAGTAATATGAATAGGCTTAGTTATCAATGTATCAATACACTTGTTTAGCTCAGTTTCAGAGCACCTTATAATCATCTTCTGTCCCAAGGCAACCTTGTAAGAAAAGCCGTTCCCTGCTTTGGTTGCCAATCGATCCGAATAGCGATACTTGTGAATAGCCTAACCAATGCTGTCTGAAGCAAGAAGCAGTGAAATCCAATCCCAGAATTCCCACACCTGCCAGAATCACACCGCCTCCCACTCCTACTGGGATAGGGCGGAGGGAACTCAGCTGAACTGGCAGCCAGTGTGTGATCTCCTGTCCCAACCTGAGGAGCAGTGAGCCTGTCTCTCAATAGTCCCCCATATGTTTGCATGTAACTGAATTATGATGTGCCTGTATTGTAAATGTCTGTAAATTTTTATTCATGTTAATTGTATGTGTTTTGCTTTGGCAACACTGTACTGTACTCATCGGCCATGCCAACAAAGCGTCTTGAATTGAATTGAGTGGAGGTGCCGCGCTCTTGGTACAGCAATGCAAACACGGCTATTTTAACAGTCCAACAGAAAACATTATACCGGATCAGCACATCCGCCGGAGCCACCTTAAGAAATAAAAGCTCCAACGAGCCCCAGGACCAAGGCGAACGAGCTCTCGCTCGGCTCTAACTCTGCCCGGTAGAGCTCGGTCTCCTTGTCCCTTTAAACTAAGCTGTGAACCAGTGGGTCTTTTCTAGATCCCCACTATTTGCTCATTCTAAAACAAGACGAGCTGCTGGTCACTCCACTTCTCACCCTCCTGATTAATTCCTCGAATCCCGTTTCCAGACGGTCCCTCACCGCTGAGCTCCTTCAGAATTTCAGGGCTGCGGCTGACCAGACGAGGCGTGTGCGTGGGCGTGGGCGTGGGCGTGGGCTGTGGGCTGTGGGTCACATTTGCGTTTCCACAGAGTTTTACCGCTGAATGATGTGCTGTATTTGCTCTACGACGATCGCAGCTCTACTTGTAAAATGCGGTAAATAATTATAAAAACGTCATATGCTGGGATGAGAATCGCCACTTTCGGCTGTATTCGGATCTAAAAGGCAAGCTGGGCTTTAAAGGCAGGGATGGTGTTGTGAAATGTGTCCTACTGATTTGAAAGTATCATAGTTCGATTCTGGAAAATTATTACAGTTATTACAGTTTCTGGTCTGTAAACTACATTTAAAATCTGCTGTGGAGTGGTATCAAATTCTGAATTTCGTACAACAGGCTGCAGAGTGTTGATATATATTATATAGAATACAAGATGCAACACTTTTAATTCTAAGCCAGAAAGTGTTAGAATTAAAATATAAACTTATTTTTTTATAAATTCCTTAACATAACGCTGACGTTTGACAATGCATTCATGAAATGCTCACACAAATGGGCAAATTATAAGGCACCCATTAAGACCCGAAACATTTTCAATGATCTCACTTGATACACAGCATGAAATATGCGTATTTTACTCAATTTCTCATTATTGTTTTAAATAATACCATATATATATTCTATATTTTGAGCATTGAAACTGGAAAATTGAAAGTGCTATTTCATTTACTATATATCAGCATCCTGGCATAGTTTTAGATGACACGTCCTGAAACAATAAATGTTTTATTCAATAAAACGAGTTTCCCCCCCCCTGAAAACCACAGTGTCAGGTTCTAAAACTACGTTTCCTTGTACTTAATACCACAGCCGGGAAATATATATTCCAGGATTTGATCCTGTTGCTGCATTTTATACCGCTTTATATTAGATAGTGCTTCCTGGAAAATATTAAAACAGGAATATAAACAGGAAATTAAAACAAAATAAAAATATTTTAAAATTATTTAAAGGACGATGCATCTACAGTCTACATATGGACTTTAAGAAAAGATCTTAAAGTTGAAAGAAGAATTTTAAAAACAATTTGATCATAATTTGCTCTCCGTTTCTCTGCGTGAAGGCTTTTCTTTTTTATCGTTTTTTTTTTACCGAAGAAACTTTTGCAAGTAAAATAAGAGTAGAACTTTTGCATTTTATTTTTTTTGTAACGGTTGCACTTTTTTAGAATCGGCCAGCAGAGATAGGGGGTTGGGGGTGAATAGAGAGATATATAAACGTATTCAAGTCTGCATTACAGTAGTTTTGTTATTACGAACAAAACGTTAACATAAAAATATTACTAAATTTCAGAAAGTAAAATAATATTTTAATGATTAACGTTAACGAGGTGAACGACTATTTGCTTATGTAAGTTTCAGGGTAAATGGGACACAATATCAACTCACTGTTCGGACGCAGTTGGCTCTTTAATAAGCTGTTTTATTGTCTCGGCTTCTGTTCTAGTTAGTGAGGGTTTTTCTTCTACACTTTGTGTCTTGCTCTGCTGTTTTTAGTGTCCACGACATTTCACATTTCATCAACGAATGTACATTTCGAATCGCATTTATTGATCTATATAGACACAATTAAAAGCTAAAAATAGGGAGGTACGAGAATTTTCATTTTTTAATAACGCTTCGCGGCAAAATTAATACGTACTGGTTATTAGACATCAAATTGGCACCCCTGCTTTCTCGTCGGATGTTCATACGTCATTGCTTCATTCAATTAATTAAATTTGTCAATTAGACTGATTCAAAGCATGAATAAAAAATTAGAACGCACAGTAATGGCTCAGACAAGGATTGTCTTTCATAATGAGCAGGCAAGAAACGTTTCAGTCGCAATGAAATGAAATGATTATAATGCTGCTAATAACAACAATATCAAAACGAATTTTAATTGCAACAGACGTTTCTGGACGCATTGCTCAATGAGTGGTCGGAGCGGTTGATTGAAATCTTTGAGAGTCAGGAATGGTTGCAGGTCTTGAGGACCGTGCTTGCGCCTCTGCCACGGCTCGCGTGGGAACTCCGTGGGTGCGGCTCGCTCCGCCGCAGCCGTGCCAGCCTCGCGCCGGATCCGCGTGGCACATCGCTTCCAGTTGACTCCTCAGACATAATTAAACGCCTATAGATGAAATACCGATTTAATACAGACCTTTAATATCAGTAACCATAATAACCACCGCATGGATTTGTCGGGGTTTCTTTTTTAAATGCTGGCCTTTCGCATGCACTGTGTGACAACTACTATCTTGTCCAAGACATTATAAATATGGGTATACCTGCATATACACAAACTGACGTTTTAAAGTTACTTTTCTCTATGTGAAGTATATTAAACAACGGGGGGATCAAGGCTGAAATATATGTATAATTTGCTCAATTACACGGTTATATGGGAATTTTGGACCTGAGGAAAAAATAACAACTTCGGTTTTTAATAAGTTTTCGTATTTTTTTATAATCAGGCCTGCACTCTTTCAGGGCACAATTTGGGTCATGCAGCCGCAGGGGCTGTATCTGTCCAGACGTCCTCGCCCACGGACGCGTGTTATCAGAGCGAGCCTGGCTCACTTATCTGTCCCGCAAGACGCGGGGGGCCCTGTGTCTCTCGCCCCGTATCAGACCGCACCTGCTCGGCCGAGGACATCCACCCCAACAACTGAATCCCGCTTTCTTTCGACTCCAAATTAAACTCAGACGCAAAATAAAACATTTCCACTATTGCACGGAACACCGCAAGCGGTTCTTTTATACGCTGGTTTAAAAAACATTCACCTTATTTAGAAGAAGAGAAAAGCCTATGAAAAAAAAAAACCACACTAAAACAAGACTTGTCAAGTGTCTTTTCAAGACACTATTTACAATGTGGATTAAAGTGTTTCCCTGATCCTCTGCTTAGAAATCCGCCGTCTGCAAAGGACCACACTTTATAATACTCGTTGAGCGAAACGGCAGAGCGGATCAAGAAAGCCACCCGTTCCCTTGTGCTCGGTTATTCGGTGATACAGTTTTGATGCGGCTGACTGAATTAATCCGAGTAAATAAACAAGTAATTAAAGAGTAAACGGCCCCCAAGATTAAAATCAATTTCCGAACATAAAACTGAACAATTCAGTACATTTCCCCGTTAAACACGTCGGGAGCCGATTCTTTGATTTGATGGTCGGAGCATTTCGTGGTTTTCACGCCCGCTGGAGAGATGGATGACTTCAGTGCACAAGGGAACGCCCGAAGGAGCACGATTTCCTTTCTGACAGCTGGCATCGCTCCAATTAAAAAAGGGAGTGAATACAAAACATTGATTTTTTAAAGATTGTATCCCGCTTCGGGCACAAATACTACACCACCGCAGATTAAAAAAAAGCTCTGTCGAGTGTAAAAGTATGTGGAAACATAGGATTAGTACCCCATATCTATTATTATTATTATTATTATTATTATTATTATTATTATTATTATTATTATTATTATTATTATTATTATTATTGTTGTTGTTGTTGTTATTCTACTAACAATGATAATACTGTTACAACTAATAATAATAATAATAATATGCAGTAGTAGTATCACAATAAATATAACAATAGTACAAACTATTATTAAATGTATACGAATTCTACAAACCTCTAGAATTCTTTAATACCTATAGACAGGCATAGGGAAGGCAAAATAACGGCACACCATGAGCGGTGAGTACCGTACGGTTTCCAGCAGATGTATTTGTTCTTGTTTTGGCATTAAGACACCGGGGGACACTTCACCCCACGCTCGCGAGTGGATAGCGCTGTGTATGTAACACGCGTGCTGCGTCTCGGACAGGTGCAGCGTGGGGTCGGGTCTTTGGCTGCCCAGAAGCCGCAGCTTCCTGATTCCGACGTGTGTCGCCGTGTACTGGGTCAATAGCTTGAATTCACGTCTGCGGGTTTGGAAACTCTGAGAAACACGCCGCCGGTTTGAGAGGAGGGCGGTGTGGAGCCACTATCACCGCGTCACGATCTCTGTCTCTCCTCTGGGCCTCCGAGCGCGAACGCCCCCCTGCCAGCCGGTTGGCTGCCCGGGAAGGGGGGAGTTCTCTCCCCCGGACTTAAAAACCCCACCGGCACCGCCGAGTGGCACTGAACACCGAACTGCTCGCACAGCTCGTCTCAGCCACCCAGCCACCCAGCTACCCGCCAACGCTCCGAAACCCGTCAGAATGGTCCACTGGTCAGACGAAGAGCGCAAAGCCATCACCTCCATCTGGGGCAAGGTGGACGTGGAGTCCGCCGGCCACCAGGCCCTGGTCAGGTACGGTGCGATTCCGCCTCGAGCTGCACGGGACACCGGATAAATAATTCCTTTTGCTTTAGCAAGTCGGTAAAGCATCGTAAAGGCGTAGTGTAAGTGCGTTTGAAAATCAACGAGGTCATCAACAACTTGCACTGAGTGTTACGTCGTTTTTGTTTTGTTTTTAATTGAGACGCTTAAGGAAATGTCCTACTTATTAACCTGTAAGTCTTCAGCCTACGTGAATGCCTTTGAACGTATAAATCTAGGTCTATGCGTTTACTAGACGTGATTGACGACTTTAAAGCAGCGACCCTCCCTTTAGGGGGCTGGGATAGGGCGTGGTGGCAGCCGTGCCTCGGTACAGGCGTTGAGATTGTGTCTCTCGTTGCTTCTGCAGGCTCCTGATCGTGTACCCCTGGACCCAGCGGTACTTCAGCTCTTTCGGAAACCTGTCCAGCGCCGCCGCTATCCTGGGCAACCCCAAGGTCAAGCATCACGGCAAGACCGTGCTGACCGCGCTGGGCGACGCCGTGAAGAACATGGACAACATCAAGGCCACCTTCTCCAAACTGAGCGAGCTGCACTCCGAGAAGCTGCACGTGGACCCCGAGAACTTCCGGGTACGTGCTGCAAACGCCGCTGGCCAGTGTCCGCCAGAATGAAGCACATAGCCCGAGAAACTCACAGCATGTGTAAATGGGAACAAGTCATAGGTTTGTTCCATGCTGAAAAGAGAAGAAAGAAAACACGTTTCAGCTGTGGAGCCTTCTTCAGGTGTGAAGGCTCCACAGCCGAAACGTTGTGTTTTCTTTTCTTCTCTTTTCAGCAGGAATAAACCTATGACTTGTTCCTTTGCAGCCTACACATGCTGATGCAGTTGACCACCTGCACTACTTCAACATATATATATATAAACTGAGACAAAGCCATGCCATCTGCTAAGCAGATAGAAAAGAACACTTTGGGAGACTAAAGTAAAAACAAGCTTTCTTTTTGGGGACTTTTCCTAACTACCAATTTGACACAGAACCCCCCCACGACAATAGCAATGAGTAGATCAGCTACAGGGGTTTCGGGACGGGCAGCGATCCTGGTCTGAATATGGGTCAGAGCAGCTGCTCGGACGGTGCGGCACCAGATCACACGCCGGGGCCACCCGCCCGGTACCTTTAAACCGCCTCACACCGAGAGTCACGCAGCGAAGAGCCGGGCCTGGCGACCGCTGTGCTGCGGTGCCCTCCGCCTGAGGACACCCGCAGGCCTCGCTAAACTTCCCGAGCCACTGTCGCGCATTTTAAACGTGCTTCCTACGGCGAGAACGGGCCCTCAGCAGTCGGCTCACCTGCGCTCTTTCCCCTGTTCTTGTCTTCCAGCTCCTGGGCGAGACCCTGGTGATCGTCCTGGCCGGGCAGTTCGGCGCCGAGTTCACGCCGGCCGTGCAGGCGGCCTGGCAGAAGCTGCTGGCCGTGTCCATCTCCGCCCTCAGCAAGCAGTACCACTGAGCGCGCGCGCCCCCGCGCGCCCGGCTTGATCCAGCCGCCATGAAATAAAGTGCTTTCTTATTCAGCACGCTCTCTCCCGAGTGATTTTGTTCTTTCAAATGGATTCATGGGGACCGATTGAAAAATCTGCTCTTATTCGAAGTCCATTGCTTGCTGTTCCTATCCTGCCCTTCTAATTAAGAAGCGTCTTACGGGGTTTCTCAAGTCAGGCGATCAGCTTCTGAAATCAGTCCATTCGTGGACAACAGCATCAATTTTTGGTCATGCACTGTAAACACACGTCTGGGACAGGGAACAGGCTAGCCAGTCATGTTGTTGAAGATGATGCCCTGGTGTCTTTCAAGGAGCAGCAGGATGAGATCCCTGGATCAATTAACTACTAAGTACCAAAGAGCCCAGATCTGCTTAATGGCTCCTCTGGTTCGTAACCATTCCTAAGTCTTTTTAGGGCAGTGAATTAAAATCCAGCTGCTTACGTATTGCCCTGACCTGCTAAGTAAACCTCAAACATATTGCCGCAGTGTTAAGAACAGACGTGTTCAAACATCGAGCCTGGCAGCAACATCAGGCCGAGGGATTATGGATTAAAATGTAACTCTCAGGTGTCTGAACACAGCAATGCTGCACACACTGGGTAAAGTGCTGTATGGAGGAATCGGCTACGTCGTGGTGGGGTTACCGGTTCTGCTCCTGGAGAGACCCAATCCAGGTACTGTTACAGGTCACTCTGGGGCGCCCCGGCTTTAAAGAGTAAATCAGTTCGCCGTGTAGTCTGTTTCCTTCAGACAACTCCTGTCTTCGGGATCTGTAGGCTCCTCTTACTTGGGTTTCAAACGATCCCTGAAATAAGCTCTGCAGCGGAGGATGGTTTCATCACGTCTCTCTAAAGGCTGAAGTATGAATTTATAACCGCAGCACAAGCGTAAAAAACAGTAACAAACGTTATGCTGAGAACAGGTGGCTCAAAATGCACCATACTGTATAGCAAAAGTGTGACTTTTGTTTTTCAGGTGAAAATATGTAATTAATGCAATTAATCACCAAACACTTTTGGAGAAGCCGAGCTTAAAATAACTGTTCTGTTTACTTCAACATTGATAAGCTTAATTTGTCCACAGGTTACAAAAAGCAGAGTGCATTAGTCCTCTCGCTTCCACACAGAGGGTGGAATGAAGGAGTAACTGTTTGGATATGCTGTGTTCTGTCCAGTTTATTACCCAGTGTGAGGAGGGATTGTGTCGGCCCGGTTTGTGTTGGTTAGGCATTGCATGAGTCAGTTGAACTGCCAAGAGAAGCATGCAACGAAACAGGCAGCCTGGGGCACGTTTTAATGTGATGTGATCAAAGATATTCACTGGAGCCCGACTTAGAACTATAAGCGTGTCTTTGAAAAATATGTTTCAGCCCCTGGGACAAAGCATCATCAAGAACAAAGCCAAAGGCACACTATACATTGTTGGGAGACTTCAAATCTTACAAGTATATAAAAATAAATGCTTGATTTTTCCTTTTTAGATTTTCTAACATCCCAGTGACACTACAGGTTAATTACATTCAGATTTCCATGCACATTCGGGGGTTTTATTACAGGTCTACTCATATTACAGCATATTACTACTCATGTGTCAAAGCAAAGCAAAACATTGGGATATATAGTTAGAAGTGTAGCATTCAAATCAAAAGATGCTACATTAAAAATTAAAGTTGCCCAGTGTGCAAGGAAACCCTTATTTGGAATACTGCATACCTGCTTTTTCACCAAGCTACAAAAACCATAGATCAACAGCAACTACTGTAGATATGTCCCCAGACTCAAATGAGTGTCGTAGAGTGACAGGCTAGAAGAACCGAGTCTTTTTAAGACTACAGATTGACTGGCTTAAACACATAAAAAACGCTCTAAGTCAACCCTGTGGACTTTTATGGAATCAACAGGTGAAGAGAACCAGAGAACAATAGTGGAAAGTCGGGGAAAATGAGAACAGAAGGAACTTATTTACAAAAGCCTGATGTGGGAGTCTGGAACCAGCTGCCCCACCACGCTTTCGAAAGGTTCTTATGGTAAAAGGACAGATAAAAGAACCAAATGACCACCACTGTTAATCGCATGGATTGCATGGATCCATTTGAATAAGAACGTTAAGATCTAACCAAAACTCCAGAGCAAGGAGGGTAATAAGACACTGACGTGCAATACCACATTCGTCCAGAAGATGACACTAGAGTGTTTACTCCCAAAACTGACACGGGTACCATTAAGTACTGCGCGCCACATCTATCAGTCTAACCTGGGATCAGATTTCATGGTTTAATTGGTGTTATTTGTGTTGCATTTGCTTGGGTTGTATTCTATCAACATAGATTTGTGTTAATGTTGCATGAAACTTTTGTGATGAGTGATGAGCAGTACAAGAGATGTGGGTAGATCATGCGGTTTGGAGTCAACTTCCTCTGTTTTTGCTCATTTCTATCAATACTGATAGTATGGCCGCGTTCTTAAGGCTGTCCTTGAGTCTAAGCAGTAAAGCGTTCACACACATGAAGAGGGTGGGGCTGGAGACAGGCAAATCTAAATTCCAATTGTGAAAAGATCTGGAAGAAAAAATACAAGCAATACCATTTCATTCTGATGACAGTTTTCAAGCAGCTTCGCCAAGTCCAGTGTTAACTTGTCCAGGTCAAGTTATCCACACGTGTGATAAATGGAGGTTATGAACTGAGGTTTGGGAGGGATAACAATGACATATCAATCTCACACAGCTGTATCTGATCACCACCGTAACAGAAGTGAACTCTGTGGCATTCGTCTAGTGAGCCCCTCTAAGAACCCATCTCCACCTGGCAGCTGCCCCCTGGGTCACTCAGTCTGAAGGGGGTTCGAGTCTGCCCCCCAGTGACCGAGCCAAACCTGTCTCACCAAATATTCCAAACCTTCACCAAGCGCTCCGGTCTCGGGTGTCGTTGTCCACAGTGAAAGAATCTGCTCATAAGAAAGTGATGGGACTTTTTACCCATCGTAGGATTTAAAAAACACAGCATCTTTGATCATGGGAGTATATAAAAAGGCTGTGTCCTTTCTTGCGGTATTGAATGGAGAATCCTTGCCTATATTCCATTCTTTTAAAGGGGTCTGTCCCAAGTTAGGACTGTTTAATTGTAGGGCATGATCCTGTATAAGAGGACCCAATCCCAGTCCTGGACAGTCGCGGTCCTTCTGGATCTACCAGTCTCTCCAGCCAGCCGCTAAAGACCATCAGCGTATCCGGTCTCAGACTGGGCACTCTGGTCTCATTAGGGCAATCGTGATTCCAATAGGAAACTCCTGAAATAGCCCAGTCGATTACAATAACAAGTTTCACTCTTCTACAGATCTTAGCATATCTAATCCTTCCATAGAGAATGGCTGCGGTCTTGAAAAGCCCTAAATGGGGGGCACACAACAGGACAGCCCCTTTATTACGGGGATTTCGACACCTCCTGGCTTTGCTATTGCCACAGCTGCCCAAACAGTTTGTTTGCAGCAGTCAGCCGATAGCATCAGTGTTGTGCCATGCATGTTGTGGGGTACCGACAGCGCCCAGCGCATCTTGGGTGCACTTGGGTGAGCTCGGGCTGTGACGCCAGGCCCTGAGCGCGGGAAACTATTTCAGGAATTGCCCATTAGAAAACCGGAAGACTGGTTGGTATAAGACCCTGTGGATCTCCAGGACCAGGGCGGGGATACACCTTTTCCAAGACACGGGAGCAAATTCACATCTGCAGATGCTTTGAGCGGCACGGGTGTCCTGCAAGCCTCAGACTATTGAAGTAGAAATTCTGAAAAAACACTGTGCAGGTGCAGGTCCCGCAGTCCTCTTGAGCACGAGGGGCGGTCACGGCTCCGTGCGGCTCGTGTAGACCGACTGCAGGAAGCTGTACAGCAGCTGAAAGACTTTACTCCACGATTCACAGGCCGCATCAGTGAAGGCAGGGCCCAGGGCCTCCCCGTAGACCTTAATGATCACGTCAAACAGCAGCTGTCAGAAAAATCAAACAGGAGCAATTCGTCAGTATTCCTGAGCCAAAAACAACAGTGGGACACTGCACACAGAGAAGGTGAGGTCAAAACCAGTCAATTGCATCATTACAAAAGGACAGTCACAAATTTTATTCAGATAGGACGTATTTACATGGTGCCTCCCAGCCATTAGGTTGCCCTGTTTTCCAATATAATTACCAAGCAGACCTGTGCTTTCTGTTTCCCTGTGCAACAAAGAGCTGCTGCTCACCACGAAACAAAGCAAATGTTAAATGTTGTTTTGTACTACGGTATTGTACTGTTGCTGTATTGCATTACTGTCATATATACATATATGTTTCGAGCTCTTGATGTGCAACACAAATCCCCTCAGGGAAAAGAAAGGTTAATTCAATTCAAGCAATGAGCTGTACATTCAGGGGTGTACAAAAGTTCAAAAGGATCCAGGGCAAATGAAGTGAGTTTTACAAGTTACAAAACAGTTGAGGTCTTTGTATTGCCTTAAAGCTGAAGTTCAGAAAAGTGAAACCAGATTTCAGCTGCTTATTAAAGGCTGTAAAGTGCTCTGTGTTTCTCAGAACAAACCATGCAACCTCTTTGCGGCAATATTTGTCTAGTTCAAAGATCTGTAGGCTTTTATTCTGTGACCCCTACAATACCTCGTTCTGCAGTATAGAATTACTCATAAATACCACATCCTGTCATGCAGGATTTAACCTATCAAGGGAAATTACAGAGGTAGACATTCTCAGACATTTTATGAATTCGAAAGTGCAGATGAAAAACACATCAGTGTTTTCTGTGTGGAAGTGGTTGATTTCTTTAATGAGCGTGCTATTCAGCATTCAGACCTACCTCGCTTGTATGCACTGACTTCACAGTTTTAAAAGACAAAGACAATCCACACTTACTGTCAACAACAGATGCCACTTTCCTGCTGTAGAAATGAACCCTTTTATCCATTTTATCTGCCTTTTTGGGATTAAAAAAAAATCATGGCTAAACTGGACACTATTTACCGACTTCTTCAATTTTAGTTTATTTCATTATAGAGGCTTGCTTTAATTGAACAGGCACCTCTGTGGTGGGTGAAGCACTAAAGATAATTAAACACACCAAGCCTTTTTTGCTCTGCAGCCACCGGATTGTGAAAGCTGTGTTTTTTTAGATGTGCCTCAGAATGCATCAGTACACCAGTACTACACATCCTCTCTGTGCAGGTGCTAGCTTGTCTGTGCTCCAGCTCAAACAGCGAGCAGAAGGGCAGCTCAGTCTTGGGAGGGGGAATACCTTGAAGTTGTGGATGTGTATCTTGTGCACGTCTCTGTGCCTCTCAGCCAGCGCGGTGAGAATCTCTTTCACAGCAGCCCAGTCATCCAGGTTGTCTATGACTTGGTTGAGGGTATTCATGACCCTCTTCCCGTGCAGTTTAATCCTTGGGTTTGTCTGCATCTGCTCAAGAGTGTCCAGATTCTTGAACCTTTTGAAGTACTGCTTGGTCTCGGGGTGATCAGTGAACAGCCTGATGATGACAAGAACAAAGTTTCTTTAGACACAGCGCCCTCTTTTTACAGCCCCTGACCTCATTTGACATCGCCATCAAAGAAAATAAACATGCATAAAATGATTGCCATATCACCTTTCTCCCCCCCTTATTGGACCACAAACAGCGGCCACACAGAGACTATATAGTTCCCCCTGGTGTGTAGATAATTACCTGTTTGAGACTTTTTGTGCTGTTTTTGCTCAGACTGACTAACCCATAATTTGGAAAGGAACAGGTAAAGGTTTATTCCTGCTGAAAAGAGAAGAAAGGAAACACAACTCTCCAGCTGTGGAGCCTTCTTCGAGTGTGACTCTTTTCAGCATTTAATAAACCTTTACTTATTCCTCTGCAGAATTCACATGCTGACGCAGGTACCTACTTGAACTAACCCAGAGTTTTGCAGGTAACCCCAGATTGGCATGGGAACATGTCAGTCACAGTCCCAGGCACATCAGAGTTCTGTATATACAAGAGAGATGACTGTGCCTGTTGACATTTAGACAGCAACCCCTAAGGCAAATGCCATTTTCGGATACAAACAAAACCAAGTGGATTTTGCCCCCCCAGAGTCTAGAGTTGAATAACACAGCAGAGTTGGTATGGAGGAACCTGTGTCAGTTTATCTTCATTGTTGACTGTTCTGGTCTCGGACATACTATCCGCAACGACAGATGTTTCTGTCCGCGCTGACACAACACAGTCAGACATCTAATCGAAGGGCTTAAGCAAGGGGCTACAGATTCTCTTTGAACCCAAAGGGTGACTATGGTTTAAACACCAGAGTAAGACAGAGGCAGAAGGAAATTCCACTCATCGACATATACAGCGCAGAACAGTACAAGCTGAGTTTATTGCTACTTTAGCTGAGTCATAGAGCTCACACGCCACGATATTTTAAGATTATACTCGCAGTCTGCGAGGCAAGACGAACCTCGCCCTGTACCGCCCTCTCGCTCACTCACACTCATCGGCCGAGCCCAGTTCAAACTGCGGGTCATTCTTTTCAAAGGGTGCACGGGCAACCGAGGCCATCAAGCGAATCCTAGCTCCGCGGGATTCACAGAAATGAAGTGGTGGCTGGAACATGCTCAAAACAGGCTTCTGTGCTACAGGCTACAGGGTTTGGTAGGCGCTATAAACGACTGATCCCAAGCTGGAACGTTATCAGAAGGTCACGTTCTTATTGCTAAACTGATCAGGTCTAGCAGCCAAGTCACGGCCACGTTGTCCGCAGTTTCAAGAAGACAGCTCGGGTAAAGAGAGAATAGCATCGCGCAAAAAAAAACACTTTTTGGGGAAAAAAAAATACTGATCTGAAATTGAATACCTTATCACGACCACCGCCCCGTTGCCCTCGGGATCCTTGTACACCATCCCCCAGACGTGCCTGATGTTGTTCTTGTCCTCTGCTGTTAGGGTCACCATAGCTGATGCAGATAAAACCCCCGCCAACTAGAATTAAAAGTAACAGCTCTAAACCTCTCGGCTTAAGCCCGGCAGTCGGAATGACCCCGGAACGCGGTTGCATCCGATTTAATACGAGGACCGCGCAGCTCGGTGCAAACCTGAGCTCCTGAAATGGCCCCTCCCATAACGGGAGGGGTCTTTTTCTCTTCACATTCTGTACACGTTTTTCCCCGGGGACGCGTTGCCACAAGTTGATGTCGTCAGATGTGAACTGAATTGTACAAACTTACAAAGGCGAATTTAAATTGGTTGAAGTCGTGTCGCGTTGCAGCAGGACGGCGGAAAGCCGAGCGAAAAAAAAAGCTTGGCGTAAAAGGTAAAACTCCATACCTTGCGGTAACCCGACTGCACAGAATTACTGCGCGGTTTTCAAGAAGGGCGGAAGGCAGGGACGCGCAGATAAGATCTCTTCTTGTTTTCGCTGTCTTCACGCCGAGTTCGTACATCGTGACCCATTTGCCAGTTTCCTCACTAAAGCTTTGTTTTCCTCACTTTCTTGTGAGAACATGAATAGCGACTGATCCAAACACGCTTCAAGGCTGGAAAGCTTCTGCTGGTGTCATGTCAGTGAAAAAAATCCTCAATCTGTGTGGGTCCTAATGCCCCAGTATAGCGATGGGGACACTTTAATGCAGTAAAGGTGCCGATCTCGACACTCTGGTCTTCAAAAATCCCAGGCCGTTTCTCGAGAAGATTAGGGGTGTTATCCCAGTGTCCCTGCCAGATTCCCCCCTGGCCTTGACCACTCATGGCCTCCTAACAATCCCCATCTCTGAACTGGCTTCATCACTCTGCTCTCCTCCCCACTGAGAGCTGGAGTGTGGGGAGCGGACTGGCGCATCATCCAGGTGGGGCTACACACTGGTGGTGGTGGAGGGGATCCCCATTACCTGTACAGCACTTTGAGTGGAGTGTCCAGAAAAGCAGCATACAAGTGTGAGGATATATGTACAGTATATGTAAGTGCTCGTAAATGTGCACTGCCTGCCGACCACGAACTGATAAAATATTAGAAAAAAATAATCTAGTGATCTAGTGAGGCGTAAAAGTGAGAAGGTTTGGGAGTGAAAAACTGTTAAATACTGGTTAAAGTGTTAAATTTAGGAACAGCGTCATTTACATGAACTTGCCTGGCAAGCTGTCTGTCTAGTTTTTGACTATTAAGGAACAGAGATATAATTCCTTAATAAGTCCGGAAACGAAACCCGCTGTGTCATTTACGAGTTAACCCTGTCTTCTGTGTGCTGCAAAGGACGAACTGAACCGGGCAGCCTGAATTGTCCTCTTTTAAAATTGAGCCCTGAGTCAATTATGACGGCAGTCAATAAACCGTGAGATGAGATTAGGTTTATCCGTTTTCTCGCTTTTCGAGGTCTTGAAGTTCGGTTTTGTATTGTTCCGAACAGTCTTTTAAAGTTTTAACAGTCTTTTCTGTTAAAACGGACTTATACCGCACCGCAGGGTGTAGCGTAGTCACGTGTTTTCGAACCGGCCCTTAGGTGGGTAACAGATGTGCTGAGCAGGCAGATGAGGAAGATGAGGAACGGGGCATAGTGTCCGGAAAGAGAAGTCTTGGGGTTTTGCCCCTACACAGTGCGCTGTGGAATTGCCTCGCACAACTCCCGTGATGATCCACAGCGGACATGTGAGTATTTAGGGACAAAATGAACATTGCGCGCCACTGTAGCAACCCGTGACAGACCCTGTTGGTCCTCTGTAGACCGGAAACGTGTGAAACACGTACAGCAAAACACTCATAGACCTCGACGTCTACGGAAAGATGGGTGAAAAATGAAACCAGAGCGCGAATGGAACCTTCCTGTTTCGGGTCCCGGACACTGACAACTGTAACACATCCTCTTCTCCTAAATTCTTCAGAAATTACGGTTCCACTCAGCGTGAACCCAGGTGTCACCAATTCTGGTGGTAAAGCTGAGCTCCTGACTTAAACGAATCCAAAATTGAACTGACAATATACTCAGCTAGAACGCTTGTCATTTTTTTTTATAAGAGAGAGATCACTTTATTACCCATATACGATCTCTTGCATTAGGAATTTGTCTTTTCGCAGACCCCAGCTTGCTCTCCATGAGACACACAGACGGGGAGAGAGAAGCTGGGCTTAAGGGCCTTGCTCAGGGGACCAACGGAGTAGGACTCCTCTGCCGGCCGCAGGATACGAACCAGCAACCTTCCAGCCACAGAGCCACCACTCCGCCCCGGGAATGAGGGATATTTAGAGGATGAGATGGATCTGAAGTTATTTGTGGAATACAGGAGTTAAAAGCCGACAGCCTACTGTACATGTTTAGAAATGGAAAACTAAGGGGGTTCAAATTAAACTTATTATATGGTCAGTCATCCATTCGATTATTGAATTAAGCGGCCAGGTGGCTCACAGACCTACAGGACCAACAGTGGATGTTAAACCAGGAACATCGCACAGTGGGAGCCACTGCATTTCCAGTACACAAACGATCCTGAAAAAAAGCAACTGCACGTCTTTTCAGCCTGAAAGCTACAAACCCCATCGGGGACAAGAAACCTTTTTATGAAACATAAGCTTCTTGAACTGATTTGATGAAAATAACCCAATCCCTCATGAGAAATTCGAAAAATCTGGGTGTGGCAAAATAACTCCCGTTCTTACATAGGAGGGTACAGATTTATTAACGTACTAGGTAACATGGGGAGATTTTGTCCTTTTTCAGCATGATGTAACAAAAAATGAAAATGTTAGGTTTGCTGCCTGGATGTGTTCTGTGCATTGTTATCTCTATTCCAGTCTCAACTAGATTTGTAAAGCCAGGATGCTGAGTCACCATACATCCGGGAAAACCATTCTAGATCAATCATATAAACTGCCCACAGCTCAGTTCCCCTAACACCCATATCTCTATTTTAAAAAAGAAAGGGAGAATATTGAGACAAATTGCTTCCATTAGAAATACAAGTTTAAACAGATCCTCCAATCTTAACTGGAAACAAAGGGTCTATTAAGAAACACACTCGCAGTAGGAGCCACTGTCTGGTAAATTTCTCAGGTTGTGGAACGCTAAAAACAGTCTTCAGCATGTCAGACTAACAGGTGACAAAATCTACTGAGGTTTTAAAATCCACATTATCCACTTAAACTACATATTACACATAACCGTTGGGTGGGTAAATTAATCAGATGTACCAAGTTAACATTTTTAGGTGCTGTAAAGGCATTTAGAAACTCCTCAAGATCAAAACTCTGAACAGGACACAAAGAAAAAAATCATTTACCGTCTTTGCTTCCTCGGACTCATGCTAAAGTGCAAGATAAAATTACCAGGGATGGTTCAGGGAGGGATAAAGGACTCCAAATGTCAACTTGGGTAACGGAGGACAAGCCAGCTGCCCGAGATCACAGTACATTGAAGTGGGGGCTGAATTAAGGAGAGTACTGTGTCCCATAGACAGCCAAAAGGTTAAGATTCAGATGTTGATGGGCATCATTTAATTTCACACTGATCTGTGCATTGTGAAGTGTTAAGTTTGCTCTTAAAGTCTTCAATAATTAAAGGCTAATGAAGGAAAAGGAACTGTTGTTACCACATGAAAAGCATTAGGTAATATCTCTAAAGGACACCTAAAGGCTGGATTTTAATCCAGAAATAATTGATTTATTTGAAGTGCTTTTAGGAACGTCGGCTATTTAATTTTTTTACAGATAATGACCAAGGTTTGAGAGCATTTTTTAAATTTCCCTTAATTTTTTCCTTACGTTTTCACAGTCCTGAAATTCCTTAACTTGCACCTCTGTTCAGTTCCCATAACGTGAGCCACTCTTGGGACTACATCTGTTTTACGTTTTTCGTGCTTTCTTCAGACCTCAAGGGAGTTCTGCCTTGCCGAGAATAATTTACATTGCGGGGCTAACCGGCAGCCTGACACCACATTCCACTGCAGGAAAGCATTAACAGTTAACACGAGGGACCTCAAAAGGGTAGTCTAACAATTTCTCCAAACCCAAGCGCTGGGAGTCAACCCACATGGATCAAGCAGGGACATGCAAACGCCCTTCAAGTATACGAATCTTTCAAACTTGATTCCAAACAAAGGGAAAAGAGTTTATTAAATAAGTCACGTAACTTTGGAAACAGATTGAGATTTTATTGTGAAATGAGGCACAAAGGAATTAAGTCCAGGAAATGTTGCAAAATTCCTTAGGCATTATTTACAGCAAATCATTTAAGCAAAAAAAAAACTTTGAAGCCACCAATCAGAAGGAGGGAGTGACAATGAACATTTAAACATTTTTGCAATTTCCAAGAAAACCTCAAAATGGCTTGCCTTGATATGCCAATGTTCGCTTAATGCCGAAGTAGCCGGAATCGAAGCCCAGCTGCACCCTTCACTGCAGAAAAACAGATTCTCTGCTGGGTCTGACATGTGCTCCCTGGCTAAACATGTAAATAAATTTAAAAACAGAACAGACATCTTTAAAAAAAGACATTAGTCTCCATTCAAAAGAAGATTGTGCACTGTTAACTCACACTTAACACCATCCATATGCTAATTTGGCAGACCTTAGGAGCACAATACTCCTAAAGCTGCTAAATTAGCCACAGGGAGTATTAATCTTATGCAAATGTGTATTACGAGCATCCACATATCTACCGGTTTATAAGTAAAAAGTCAGCAGTAACCAGCTAGACCTAACAAGAACCCAGTAATTCCATGAGGGCTTAAGAAACAGAGAATGAGAGAAAACCACTGGATACATCTGTAAACTGAATATGTAAAAAAACTACAATGCATTGCAGTGTCTAACTTATTATAGGAGGGATAAACATTCAATGGAAACTGCTGAAGCCGAGTAATATTTTTCTGTAAACTTGTAGGATCATAAAATTGGTTGTTTTAGCGAAAGTCCCCATCGCTGAACTATGTACATTTTCCAAGTGCCGTCCCCTTTAAAGTATAGCTCTTTTGTAACCACCATAAAAATCTAGACCCCAAGCTACACTGTAAACACAGCAAGGAAAGTTAAAAAATCTCTTGCATGAAGTGGGATGGACTGCAGAATTGTTCTCAACCGTACTGCATTTCCAGTATTTATTTTGTTTGCCTTTGTTTACCAGGGGCTGTAGTTGTGAAATAAGCCCCAAAGTACAGGAAACAGAACTCGCATTTCAACAGTCTGAAAAGCTCCCCAGCACGGTCACTTCCGCGAACCGCTGTAGACTTCATAGTGAACCAATTCATTAATTAAAACACCACCACAATACCCTGCAATGGTGTTCTGAAGCTGGTTAAGTTAATTTTAGGATGATACCATTAACATTAAATAATTATACGATTCAAACTGCTACATAATGCTTTCTGAACCTCAGTAGAGCAAAGCAATACCGTACTATTCCGTAGCTTAAAAACTTCCACATTGGGGTTTGGGGTTTCAAAGTGAACTATTCCCAATGTACACTGTGCTAACTGATGCTTAAAATATAGTTGTATAAAGAGAACCAAACTTATAAAGCCGGATGTTTACATGAAGATTGATACAGCTAATGTTTCTAAACACTGCAGTGTTGTTTATACTCCGACATAACATTAGGCAACTTTAATCCAAAATTCCAAAAACCGGACTATATTCTGGCTATTTTGCATTAAATTCCAGAGCTCCCACCCTGAAAATGACATGCCCCCTTGCAAATAACAGATGGAAAACTGCACAAAACAAACTGAGAAGACTCAGGACAGTCTACCTAAAAAAAAACAAAAACCTCACAAAAATACAATTTCCTTTAAAAAAATGCTATATACCCTAGAGAAGCAATAATATCCAGCAGTATTTAATGGGTATGTTAAACTAGGACAGAAAGAGGAGAAAAGGGGTTCTCTTTGAGGGAACGAATGTACAGTGTAACACGGAATAACAGAGGCTCCGTATCCCGTCAGATCTCTCCGGCTTCCCGTTCCTCGGACCTCCGGGAGTCCGATCTTCCATTCATGCTCTCCTGCCTCCGCTCAGAGGAGCTCTTCTCCTTCCGGTCCCGGTCCCGATCCCGCGACCTGTCCCGAGAGGAGCGGTCCCGATCCCTGGAGGACCTGGTGGGGCAGAGCGGGGTTTAAGAAAACGATTCCAACAAAGACTGGCCTGTTTTTAAAACACCTTTGTTGAAGTCCCGAAAGAGGGAGGGGCAGAACAAAAGCAACAAAACGGGTGGTGAAGAAATACTTCTAACAATAATCAGCCAGGTTATTCAACACCGACTGGATCAGAAATTCCAAGGAAGAAATTCTACACTTCTCTGAAAAAGCACGGAGAGAATCATTAATGATATAATCAGGGCTGGTACCTGACGAGAAAACAACACTGGGCGATAAAATTACATCGATGCCGGACAAACGTTGAGACTGGCTCATCGTTTGGATCATCCCTTTTCTGAAAGCCGGCATCGCTGCGCGGCGGACGCAGGCCTTCCCACGACTCCCGGTGGGAAAGGCGCCAGACAGGCAGTTAGCACGCCGAGGTGCTCCCGTGCGTCCCGAGGGGCCTAAGGCCGGGAAGGTGAAAGCCCTCACTTGTGCTTGGCGGCCCTCTCCCGGCTGCGACGGTGGCCCCGGCTGCGCGAGCGGCTCCGGTGCCTGCGCCTCCTGTCGCGGTCCCGGGACCGGGAGCGGGACCTCTTCCTCTCCCGGGAGGACGAGCGGGAGCGGCGCCTCCGGCGTTCCCGGGAGCGGGACCTGCGGGGCACAAGGCAGACAGGGAAGCATGGTGCAGCCGTGGTCACGGCCGCCCGGAGCTCGGAGCAGACGGGGCGACTCATCCTACCCTGCCCTCAGCAGGGAGCAAGGAACCCTGGTTGCAACCAGCTAGTGACAGTACTCAGGCTCGAACCCCCCCCCAATGTGTGGAGCAACTCTGTTCAATCCCAGAGACCCCCTGCACAGGCCAAGAGTTACAGGAAGCGATGCCGATACCCACCTTCGGTGCTCCCTGCTCCGTGACCTGGTCCTGCAAACAAGCAGAACAGCTACATTAACGGAGGGCACAAACAGCCCAAAAGACCAGTCACCTCGCGCATTTGTTCACCAAATGCACTCGTGGGAGATGCAAATATTTAATTTAAAAAAAAAACAAGTGACAGCTACCTTCAGGAGGTCAATTGTAGCTACACTTGTTTCAGTTTTCTTCGAATATCAACTCCCTGCCTGTCTGAACAATACCATTTTTTTTTACTGTGAACTTACACGGCAGAAAACTCTGCGGTGTCATTTTGTTTGCGTAACTATGTGTTATCCCTGCAGTGAGAGAGACACTCATGACCTTTAGAAATCGAATTAGGTGGGTGTCCCGGGGGGCACTACGGTCAGGAGTTCAAGCCTGAGTAATATCGCTAGCTGTCTGCAACCGGGTAGGATGAGTCAACCTGTCTGCTCCGAGCTCCGCGCAACAGTGACCGCCGTGAAATCTCGGGCAATCACAGCCATGTAGTGCAGTCAGTGAGGTCAACACCCGTCCTCCAGTCAAGAGCTGAACTGCGGGCACAGGTCTGCCGTATCTCCGACCCCTTAAACATGAGCAAACGCAAAGGCGGACAGATCGGAGGAGCCTGCTTCTGTGCAGTTGTAGAGATCGAAGCCGCTTGCCAAGACATGAAAACCAACTGGCGGTTCCTAATCGGAACAGTACCAACTCCTTACATTTAGATAGCGCTTTTCTGGACACTCCACCCAAAGCGCTTTACAGTCCATGGGGATTCCCCTCCACCCACCTGGATAAGACAACGGCAGCCAGAGTGCACCAGTACGCTCACCACACACCAGTTATCATTGGGGAGGACTGCAGAGTGATGAAGCCAGTTCAGAGATGGGGATTATTAGGAGGCCATGACACCAGGGTTACACCCCTACTCTTTTCAAGGAAGCCCTGGGATTTTTAATGACCAGAGTGTCAAGATCTGAGTTTTACATCTCATCCAAAGGATGGCACCTTTATTATATTATAGTGTCCCCATCGCTATACTGGGGCATTAGGACCCAAACAGACTGCAGGGTGAGCTCCCCCTGCTGGTCCCACTAACACCTCTTCCAGCAGCAGCCTCAGCTTTCCAGGGAGGTCTCTCATCCAGGTACTGGCCAGGCTCACACACCTGCTGAGCTCCAGTGGGCTGCCAGCTGTGCGTTGCAAGGTGATAAAGCTGGATAAAGTTTAAAGAACTTCAGAAAACCCTGCTGCCTGGATACCTCAATGAGAGCAACAAAGGTCACTCATGAAGGCAAAGGGTGGTAAACCCCTCTACAGCCCTCTTGAGAATCGGATCAACAGATGTGTTTAGTAGCATTCCATACCTAGCTACACTTCAGAGGTGCGCACTGCCTGAAGGCCATGTCCTACCTTACCATGCATCTAACAGGAGACGTACAAGAGTAAGAGAGAGTTAGTTACCCTGAGGCAGTTCCCCTAGGCAGTTCTCCTGGGGCATCAGTCAGTGAAGAATCCCCTCTGAAGAGGAGAGTGTAAAAAACAGTTACAATTTAACTGGCGTAAAGGGGCGCGCGCACAAGAGAGACCCTGACACGAAAAAGCCTGCCGGCACAATGACTGCAACAAGTTCCTTTGCTTGCTAGCTGATAAAACATGGAAATGACTTCGCTTGATTATGGCCAATGGCTCATGCATTTGTAAAGCAGTAGACATCTTCACTGTGTTATAATATTTTTTTTTTTATTTGACAACGAACAAGTGTTTAACATTACAGCTTTCAAAAAGCATAACTTGGAGCCAGCCAAGGGGCCGACTGGAGGTCTCTGGACCCTTTCCAGGATGCATTAAGCTTATCTTCAGTTGCGCCATCACCGTTATGCTCCATTTCGAACAGCCTGCGTTTGATGTAGCCCCGAAGCGAGCTAACTGCAGGCCGGCTCCCTCCCTCCCACCCGCTGGCTGACAGCAGAGAGGCCGGCAATTTCTGCCATTTGCATGAGCAGGCAGCTAACAAGTGAAAAGCAGCTCACCCATCTGGAAATGACCATTCCTGGTGCTGCCTTCAGTTCTCTAAAAAGGAAAAGTTCACCAGCCCAGGAAGGTCCTTCCATCTCCCTGAGCCGAGCCCGAGACAGCTCTCTACGCTCCAAACGTCAAGGTGGAGCGAAAGTGCAACCCCCCTTTAAATTAAGCAGGATTTCTCCTTGCGCTTTTTCTACACTTGCTTATGCTGCGCACATATAACCCCAATAAATCCTATAAATTGAGCCATCTATTCATACTATCCTGAAGTGGTGCGCGGGCTGACTCACACCCGCAGGCAGGCGGGCGCGTGTTCGTTTCTCACAACCGCGGGCGGCGCGGATAAAAAAAAAAAAAAAGCCGACCTGCGCATCACTACTTCCCCGTCTGTTCGAAATAGATGCTCTTTGCTTTTAAAGTTCACCTTCTGTTCACTGCCACAGCCTTACTGCATCTAGACTTGCAAATGAATTCAGAAGATGCAAGAGCTTAAAAAACTCCTCCACATTAAAAGTGCAGCAGAAAGCAACAATCTAAGGGTATTTCATGGGTTTCGGCAGTTCTCCAAGGGAATCAACCAGTCCTGATACAGGGGAGGTGGAAGCAGCAGAGGGTCCCCCTGTTTGCCAGGTATTAACTACAAAGAGACCCAAGGCTGTGTGTACAGCAGACCCTGCCCACTTACAGGGTCTCTCCAGACCCATCTGAGCGCCAGTCAGACCCACCTTTTCCTCATTCTCTCCTCCCTCTCTCGTTCTTCTCTCCTCTTCAGACGCTCCTGGTTTCTTTTTTCTTGCTTCTCTGCCACGGTTTTCTAGGGGGCAAAAAAACCCCAAAATCTCAGTAGGTTGCAAAGAAAGATCAGTGAGGCATGGACTACAACTTGCCTACAAAAAAAACTATTTGTGTGGGGAAAAAGCTACTTAGATGTGCCTCCGAATACAAAAAAAGCTTTCAAATACTGTTAACAAAACCTCCCAGGATATCAGTGCATTCTAATGCTTCAGCTCACAGACTGGTCTTTGTTACCTTTCTTACCGAGTGGTGCCGTGGCTCTGTGGCTCAGGATCTGCGCCTGTGACCGGAAGGCTGCCGATTCGTATCCACTGGCTGTCAGAGGAATCCTACTCTGCTGGGGCCCTGAGCAAGGCCCCTAACCCCAACTGCTCCAGGGGCGCCGTATAAATGTCTGACCCTACGCTCTGACCCCAAGCTTCTCTCCCTGTCTGTGTGTCTCATGGAGAGCAAGCTGGGGTATGCGAAAAGACAAAAACCTAATGCAAGAAATTGTATATGGCCAATAAAGTGATCTGATCCTAGTTAACACAGAACTGCACTTCTAAATGAAAGCTCCTTCCTTATGTTGTAATGGTTCGACAAACTGTCAGGACCCAGGGCATGGGGCACTGTGTAGTGGGTAACCACGCTCGAGCCCCACCTTCAGCTGCTCCAGCTTCTCGCGGATCTGGATGAAGCCCAAGTGCAGTTTGCCCCCGAAGTGGTCAGCCAAGCGCCGGTCGTTATCGTGGAGGCCGAGGTAGGCGGAGCAAACCTCGCACACGCGCAGCTTCTGCTGCTGGAAACTGGAGGCGGGCATGGAGTTCCTGTACTCCTCCTGCGAGAGGAACACCACCAGGATGTGTGAGCACTTCAACCTCTTGGGCAATCTTGCACACAACACGCATTCAGCTTTGACAACCAGATTCATACACGATCATACATGATCAGGACTTACTGCATCACTGATGCTCAGTCATGGGTAAGAGCACACCTAAGAAGTATCCGAAGTTCAATCTTAATGCAAGCCAACTCAAAATTACTTTTGAGCAGATTTCCCTGATTAATATAAGGAATATAAGAATTCCTTTAGTGCAACTTGGCAGCATTTTAAACTTCTCAAACAAAGAATCTGCAAAATGTATAGCAGCCTGAATGATATCACAGTTGACTTAAGCTCAGCTCTGGCACGGGCCGGTGGAGTGCTCTTACCTCTGCTTCACGCTTCCTGCTCCTGACCTTCTCCACCTCCTGCAGGACCTTCTGCGCCTCGTCCACGTTGCCCTCTGCCCCCAGCTGCTCCGCCTTGGCTAGCAGCTTCCCGATCTCCTCATTCAGCTCATGCACCTTCTCGGCCTGAGAACGAGAAGACAGCTGTCTCAATACATGGCCTGTTAACAACAGACGTGCTGATCATGATGCAGTGTCAAGATGCATTGGCACCACTTGGCCCTGTTGAGCAAAAGCAATGTAAATGGTACTGGAATGGATCAAACATATCCTGACTGCATGAACACTGCCATTTACCATTACATTTGGCATAAAAAAAAACTTTCCAGCCTGCAGCACCAGAGAAACATACTAGTAATAATTAATTCCTTACGCTTACACAGTGCTTTTCTGGACACTCCACTCAAAGCGCTTTACAGGTAATGGGGACTCCCCTCCACCACCACCAACGTGCAGCCCCACCTGGATGATGCGACGGCAGCCATAGTGCGCCAGAACGCTCACCACACATCAGCTATCAGAGGGGAGGAGAGCAGAGTGATGAAGCCAATTCATAGATGGGGATTATTAGGAGGCCATGATTGGTAAGGGCCAGGGGGAACTTTGGCCAGGATGCCGGGGTTACACCCCTTCTCTTTTCAAGAAAAGCCCAGGGATTTCTAATGACCAGAGTGACAAGACCTCAGTTTAATGTCTCATCCGAAATGAGGCTGTCGTTAGCAGTTCAAATGCTCATTAAGCCCCCTCACCTTAGCCGCAACCTCCGCGCTGATTTCCTCCTGTGTTTCAGCCAGCCGCTTCTTTGCGAGCTCTGTTCTTCGGTCACAGTCGGCGATGAAAGACTCCAGGTGGTCTACAGCCTAAAAACAGACGCAGAAATGGAAGCACTGTTTCACAATCTTAGGTATGATTTTAAAACCCCCGCAATTCCTGAATGACTGTACTTATTGCACAGAATCAAGCATTTTACAACTGGAAAAAAAATCCCCCTAGCTGTCATAATACTGTTTATAAAGAAATGTGAATAACCAGGGGATTTACGGTTTTTAGTTTCACACACAAGAATTATAAGTGACTTAAACTGTAAAAAAAACAAACTTACTGGCACAAAAAACTGAACCATATTCAATTGTCACCATTAATAAACTACACATCACATTCAACAATACTGTCTGAGAAAGTCCACAGCTTCTTTACAATCACATTTCAAATTATCATAGTGCAAACTCAAGATGGGGGAAGATAAAATTTAATTACCAACTATTATTTAAGAAATATCAGAATATACAATTATGTTTCTCCCATCAAAGATTATTAGACGACATGAGTAAAAAAAATGACAAATCTCATTTACTCACACAACGAGAGGGATCAAATACTCACCCTTATACAATCAACAATGACCACATTCCCTCTTCCTTTGTATACGAATTTAAATTTAGGGCTCTTCCTTTTCGGATTTTTATCCCGACTTTACCTGTTACAATTACGTTGATATGAGATTGCGGCATAATTAGTAGACTTCTAATTTTTCCTACAGTCAGGTGCTTCATGTAATACTTTCAAGTCTACAAAAAAAAATCATGACTTGAGCTCTCGGTAAGGAAGTAATCGAAGAAGTCAAAAAAGTGTTTAGGCTTAATGTCTCAGTCTTACCAGGAGTCAGGGAAAACAATGGATCACAGATAACTGATCCAGTAAGATGATTTTGTGGGTTGAGCTTTTTTTCCCCCCTATTGGCCATCGACCGTTTTTGGAATCTCCAATTCCCTTTACACATCTTTTTCTGATGGAGCCCATGCCTGTGCTCACACGAGCAGAACGAGGAAGTGCAAACAGGTGTCTCACACCTGCCCCACACATCAAGCCATTCACCTTTATGAAGGCGACAGGTAATGCTGAGGCATACAGGTGGTTCAGCGCCAACTGGAGGAGAGGGCCGCCCCTCAGCAGCCGTGCCACAAGCCTGCAGGGGTCCAGAGAGTTACAGGGGACCCCAGAAAGTCACAGAGAACACCCCCAAGCTTGCCCTCAGCCACACTGAGCCAACTGTGCACCGCCTCCTGCCTAAACCGGGTCACACTAGGACAGCGACGCGTCGGTCGTGTTCTAGACTAAATATGCCGTCACGCCAAAAGTGCAGGTTTGACGAATTCCTGAAAAACCCAACTTACATCCAGTTCGAAGAAAAGGTCTCGGTCCTTGGAGGCGATCTCGTAATCCGCCCTGAGGGCCAGGTCGTGGATCTTTGAGCACTCCCCCAGATCCATGCGCTGTGAAGAGAGCACGACACTAAACCCAAGGAATACACTCCCACAGTGCTATCCTGAACAATAAGATGTTACTTGACCACAACAACCAAGTCCGATCATACAGGATTGATCAAAGATGCAGGCCGCCAATGATGTTGTTTAAGGAAGAGCTTTGTGCTTGAAAGGCACTGATCTTTGCTGTTTCCTGTATGCACCAAACCATTATTGTGTTCCTTCTGCGGTTTATTTTGCGTTCATCGAGTCTTTCTTCCCTTCTTCTTCACGTGAAGTGGCAAATGTTTTAGGGCCACAGTATTAGTATTAGGCTCCGTCATTTGACTAACATATCTCAAGCATTCACAGCCCATTTTCCATCTCTCTGCGATTGCATACTATTCGTTATTGATGGTTTCTTTTACTCGCGCAAAAAATACACATTAGCTAAAGGAATCGCAAGCCTCCACAACAATTTTAAAATGCTTTGTCCATTACTTCTTTTTTAAAATCAACCTAGACTTTATATAAGTACTTGATATTTTCAGACCAAGGCATGACACTGTGAGATCTGAGAGCTGTGCAATTATGTACCATCTCAGGTGCTGGCTGTTAATTACCTTGTATTGTGTACTACTGCATTACCACAAACAGTATTTCAGAATGGATTCTTGTGTACAATTTTTTTTGGTGCTCACTCATTTGTTTGGCCAGACCACCTGCCTGGTCTGCATACAACTGAGTACAGCTGATTTACCATGAGAATTTCCTAAAATAAAATATTTTAACAAATTGATTTTTATCATGAAAGGCAATACAGCAGAGCAATGTTGTCACGTTTAAATTCACCCCTTTACAAATGCTGGTGTTATGTCTGCGATGGAGCCCAAAATCCAAGGGTTTCTGTATTTAAAATCCAGACCATCGTTACTTACCGTGCCAGCAAGGATGTCATGAGGACAGCAGTTCAGCAGGTGGCTTTTGCAGACGCGTTCGTCTGTGAATTTCACCCTCTGTCGAGTTTCGTCACCTGAAACAGGTTGTAGGAAAAAAAAAAGAACAAGTCAGAAATGGTCATAGCTCAAACACAGCTTAACATATAGAGAGGATCCAGTGGCAAAAGAGCATAGTTACACTTTTTCTTTTAGGACACTGTGTTAAATTCTATTTTTAGGTGAAATTCACTCAATTTTACGGCAATAAAACTTAACAATAAAAATAAAACTTACAGCAGAAGACATCAGGTAACACCGATGGTGTTCATTATGATTTGCATAAAATCTGGGGAGGGCGATCAGGGCATCCTAACAGCTTACAGAACCAATTTGCTGGAGTGTTAAATCTCCATGTATGTTTGAACAAATTAGTTAGCAGCAGGAAGGCATTTTCAAAGGAGCTTACAGCTGTAAACTCCACTTGACCTTCCTTTGACAATGACATGAGCATGTTTTTGGGGTGCAAGTGGGGAGAGTAGTGGGCAGATCTTAAATTCAGGCACATTACGGTACATACAGAACACAGGTTTTATAACTTGCTGCAGAGATCACACGGGACCTAAAACAACCGATGGATCCACAAACTAATGAACCTCAGGCTCCTCAAGCAACAGTGTCAGGGAGATTGTAACACTGTAGACTTGTAGCTTTCAAATCTGGAGTTTATTGTGCAAATGTTTCAGAGAAAAATAACCAAATACTGAAGTGGGATATAAAAGATGGATCTTTCCCAGTAACAGCTGAGACACCAGCATCAGATTAGATTAGATCCAAAAATGTTAAGCACAGTGGGGATGCCGTGTTGAGCCATGTAGTGTCAACCCATTTGAGTTGATATCCCTTAATCTACTGTACATTGGCATCCAGAATGCTGGTTTGATATCAGGGGCATCATTAGAGAAGTGAAGGAGGTGATTCATGGAATGAAAACAATGCATCCTGGTGCTTGATCACTCTGCAGGAGTCAGCCAGTGACTATCCTGGGCACAAGGCTGCAAGCTAGGTTTGCCTATGGACTAAGAGCCTCTATCACCCAGGTTGAACTCAGCTGAAACACCGCAGGAGCTGTTAAATTGGCATGGTGTGCGATTCCAAGAGTCTGGACTTTTTGCAAAAAGGCCTGAACTGGGTGCATTTTACTCGGGGAGCGCTTAACAGATGCGACTCAGTAAAAGGTTAAACAAAAAAAAAGGAGGTTAGTTAATACACACTGCGAGCTTCCTCATATACTGTACCCATCTGCATCTTCAAGACCTCAGCTGCAGAATTTTATACCCGCTGTTGAAAAGTATAAAAGGGAAAATCTTTCTTGCCCACACCTGTAGTAAGGAAGTCAGGGGAATGATACACAAAGTACAAAGTGTCAGTTGGTATGTGGCACATTCAGACAGCTCTGCTGTTCTATGACACATGTTGTGCAACTAGTAACACTATACTGCATATACTATTCCATGACTTGCAAGCAACCAGACGAACTCTGTTTATATGCTGCAATAATCCTGAGGTTGGCATTTAACGTTCCTTTTAAATTTACGTTATTAATTTCTTTGACTTAAAAAAAAGATATTTCTGTAAAGCAAACATGTCTTTCGATATTCATAACAGCTTTAAAAATTATTTGTGACTCACGGCTCGATGAACATGAGGCTTTTCTGCAACTCCCTTGCAGATTGATGTAGGCTGGCAAAGATACACTGAACCTTTATAAATAAAATAAAGGGGCCACAATTGTTCAGTTTGTATGAAACATAGGTATGGGAAGCAATTCAAATTCAGCTTAATTACACATACACACACAGTCTCACTTCACACAAGCAGCACTCATTAAACTGAGGAATGTCAGAACCAACGAGCACGTAAACTTGGTTACCCAGATGTGCTGCTCAACTGACTTTCCACGGTATTACACAAGTAGTTTGCCTTATAATTTTGCGGTCAAGCTCCTTAACTCCTTAAAAAAAGAAAAACGCAGCAGCACCACCAACTACGCATTAACACGTCATCACGTGGTGCTATGAATGAGATGTAATTCTGTTTTCTACCATCCCGCTGCGTTGTCAACAGTCCCTTCTTAACCAAGAAAGAGCGACGTGAAGGAAACTGCCGCTACACAGCTCAACCACGCCAAAAAGCCAAGACTGCACAGCCCTTTACGTCCTTGCAGGTGCGCAGGTTAAACACCGCTGCGAACAGCGGAAAGCAAAAACGCTTAGTCTTTAAAGCGAGGAAGCTCTGCTCCGTCATGACGATTCGCTTTTCAACAGCGAATCAAAACCGAAAACGCCTCTGGCCCTTAGCAGGTACTGAGCCGCCATTGCTGTCTGAGACGGCACCGTTGTGTCCAGCAGGCCACAGACTGCAATCGACATTTGTAAATAAGGTGGGAATACATCGCGTTTGTTTACTAAATAGCGCTTTCAAGGCGACCTTCCATGTTTTACGTTTCGTTCTGTTCCCTTTAAAATAATTACCGGAGCGGCGTGACATGTCTTATCGTCTCTCTCAAGACAGAAGGCGCCACTTGAGGCCCGTAAATCAGGCCTGGCCTAGAGAGCGCTACCGCCCAGCACACCGCGGCGAAACCCGGATAAACAGTACGAAACCCCCCACCAGATACGACTGACAAAAATCACGATACGACTTCCTATGCGGGGGGGAATGAAAAAAAGAGTAACGTCGGCCTACCAGACAAGGCATTCGTCCGTCCCCTTGGCGGAACACAGGGAGAGACGGCGCGTCCATAATGAAACTGAGCCCCGATACTCACCGTCCCTTGCTGTTCCCATCAGCTGGTCCAGCAAAGCTCTCATCTGAGCCTGGGCCGACATGGCGGTCGCTTATTTGTGTCTTTAACCCCTTATCTAGCCGCACTGTACATAAATCTGCAGCTTCGCTGTTTTTAAAAGAAAACCAGCTTCCTTTTTCCCTGCTCGTCTTCCCGTCTCTCCTCCCTCTCGCAAGCCTGCAGACCCGTGAGAGGCTGGGAGGACGTGACGCGTCCAGAGCGGAAGGCCGCGTCCAATGCATGCCGGGAGTTGCAGTTCCCGAGGTCCCTGCTTGCGAAATGAAATCGCATTTTTACTGGCACAAGTTGGGCAGGTACAGAATGTTTTTTTTTTACAAAACGAAACGAAGGGTCCATTGCACACAGATTTCCCCTCAAAGTAAATGTCGTGTAACTACAGATAAAGCTTGATTTGTTTAGCTACAAAAAACCTTTCGCTGGCCCTTGAAATTGAAAGGCAAAGCGCTGTTGTAATTTAAATAAACGACATCTGTTTCTAAACAAACGCAGAGCCGGTGACGTTGGAGGTGATCAGCGTCATGGAAACTTCGGAAACCTGCGATCAGCACAAAATATAGATCATCCCCAAGCGCTTTGCAATAAGAGAGCGCAGTATCCACCCGAGCGATGCGCAGTGGACAGACAACACGCCTGATCAGGTGAAGGTGACAGAAGTGGTTTCGGTTAAATTAAGGGGTGGCAAGGTACCAAGCCTGTTCAGATCAGGAGCGGAATGTAGGCTAAATTTACCCGGAGGTTAACACCCCGTTCTGTCCAGGGTGCTGAGGGGACTGAAGATGAGAATTTGAAGCCGCAAATGTAAACGTCCCGATATCACGGCTCTTCTCTGAGGCGCGCCGATGAAACGCGCAAAGGCTCCGCTAAACTTGGCGGCATCAGATCTTTCACTTTTCTAAAACAATTATCCTTCGTTGTAGGGGTGGTCCGGTGGTTTGCACGGCTGTCTGGCAGCGCTGGGTCCCTGGGGTTAGTCACCGCGGTGCTGTCAGTGTGCTTGCTCTCCCTGCGCGCGCCAGGATTCCCCCCCACAGTGGAAAGACCACTGGCTGGCTTCTTTTTTTTAAAAAAATTATGTTTTATTTTAAACACCAGAAATACAAAAAGAAAAGGAGACAGAATATTAAAATAGATACAGAAATAGACACTTCACAGCCAGGGGAATTCAGGACTGTAAAAACTAAAAATGATACTTTTTACATATTCCCATTGCATGTCTTGCCTTTTGATTCTTTAAATTTCTAATAGCATTTAAATAAAAAAAGGAATGCAACTTTAAAAGCATGAATAGAGGGAGCAGTGTTAGACCATTTACTTTTGTGGATGAAGAATTTAGCCAAAACAATTAACAGATTAATAATAAAAACACATCCTTTATCCAAATCAGATCTAACAGAATATAAAATAACATCAAAATCTTTCAATTTAACATTTACCTTAACATGTTTAACAATAACATTTTGCAAATCTATCCAAAACAGTTTTGTAGATATGCAGTCAACAAGCAAATGTTGCAAAGATTCCTTCTCATTATTACAAAACACACAGAAGACATCCTGTTCGTGTTTAAATCAAGAAAGTGTCGATTTAACAGGATAAAATCTATGAACGATCTTATAGGAAATTCTTTAACTTTATCTGTAAGACAGTATCTAGGCTGGCTTGTTTCTGGGGACAGTGGCCCCGAGAGTGACTGTGTCTACCTGTGTCCTGTCATGGGCGCCTGTATCCCGTCCAGGATGTGTCCTGCTCTGCGCCTGTTGCTGGCTGGGATAGGCTCCGGCCCTTTGCTAGATAGAGAGGTTAGTTAGGTACAGTAGGAAATGAGTTATGGAAGATGAGGTAACGCAGGCCTGTAAACTACATCACCCAGGGTACCTCGGGACCGCACCCATGGGCGGGGCTTGAACCTGTAGAAATAAGGCTGTGTTGTTTATCCAGCTGGGTTTGTGTCAGGCAGCCTGGAAACGTCTGCGGGGATCGGAGCCTTTTAACAGTAAGAATCTGTTATTTACGCGTTGAGTCGGTTTAAGTTCCGTTGTTTATCGCGTTCATCGATTGCGAGCTCGTAGCCTTCCGTCGTCTTGTTACCGGTTGCCTTTTTAACTTGTCCTTTCATAATCCGCTGAACAGTAGTTGTAAACGTGTGATTCCTTAGATAACTAGATGTCTAACCAGCTCGGGGTAGGATTGTACACACCGATTTAAAATCCGCTAATATGTCTTTGCTGTCTACGGAAACCACGCGGGTTTTATTTTTATTTTTTTGCACGCTTAGCTGCAATATTTTTTTTTTCATGGCTACTCCGACATCGGAGTCCGGATGCGTGTACAGTTAATCTAAGACAGGAATCACATGCTGAACTTGATCCTTAAATAGCTCGGAACAGAAAACCTGTTTCACACGATTAGTCATTCGAAAGGCTGTGATTGCTCCTCATAAACCTAAAGGAATTCGTTAAAAAACGAACTCATCGGGAACTCTGGTCACACTGTAGGTTTTAAATATGACTTTACGCCCGACAAGAAGTTTATTTTTTTCGCTGGAAACAAAGTTTCTTCATAAAGGCTTCTTAAATTGTAACGATACCTGTCAAGTCAAGCGCGCCCCTATTATTACGCTATTTCTAACGAATAAGACGATAAGTTATAGGTCTAGCTCCTTTTTTGAGTCCTTAGATCACGGCCAGCTGTTCCAGAACGGTTCGGGACAGGTCAGCGCCACAGAGATTCAGGGACGGCGGGTCGCCTGGAGAGTGTTGTTTTGCACAAGCGGGCAATGAAGGGGTAGTTCGCTGTCTTGTCTTGCTCCATGACAAGTGCATTGCTGTTAACAGGAGTGTCTGGGGACGTAACCTATTGAGTGTCTCGCAGCAAAGTAAAGCTTAACGTGAAAATTACTGTAGAATAACCAGGGGGGTTGCTTCTGAAAGCGTTCAATACGCAACCTAGTTTACCGTGGACTTAAAATTACTATTAGTCGCCATTCTTATGCTTGGTTCCGCAACGTTTGCAAATTGTGTTGATTTATTTCTGACTGGATAAGTGACGCTCCGATCGGTCAGCGCACACGTCTGTTAGAAACCGATGCAAAACCGGTGCCGTCTGACAGTCCTATCGTGGCTTACAGAATGGGCCGCACGCCAAGTTCTGACACTTCTGCGAAGGTTGATCCCTAGAAAGGGGAAGTGGACTTGACCGGGGTCAGAAAGGCGTTGATAACGACCTGCTTTTCATTGCTCCTATGTTATAAAAAGGTTATAGTGCTATGGCACGCCAGTGTATAGACAGTTTAATATTTATCTGCAGCTTGAATGATTTTTGTAACATTCTCGCCGTCTACTTCGGGAACTGAATCTATAAAAGATGTATACGGTTCGTTTACTTGCCATACATTGGACTGCACATATCTGTGTGAAGCAGGATATAATCTAGTGTTACACAAAATGTGTGTTTTAATTCTCCACTACAGCTCTTATGATGGAATTAAAATCAGGCACAAGCATAGACAGGTCGAAATATTTATTAACAAGAAAAGGAAGTACAAGAATATAGCACACGCCTCATACAGATATTTACGATCTGTGGGGTTCCAGAGTCCTATTTACTGCTGACCTAGAGAATTCCTGAATTCAGCTTCTCTAAATACACCACGAAAAACCAGGGCAGGCTGACTAGACAGAACCCACATCCTAAGAAAAATGTTTCTAATCCAGGAGTAAATCGCCCTGTATAAAAAAGACGGGTGCTCAGTAATGAATGAGAGACAAAATAGGGGAGAACGTTTTTAGCCAGCGGATTCCACAACTTAGGAAATCGGAACTTTCTAAAATAAATAAGACCACAAGCGCTCTTACAATAATGCTCGAGTTGCCTAGATGGATTAGAAAAAGGATTTCTCCCATGGCTCAGCTCCGGAAGAGGAAGAGGAGGATGGCTCCTTCTTTGTTGACTCTTATCTCTTTCTTCATCTTCTCATTTTCTTCCCCTGTGTTTATGCTGTGATCAGTTCTCATGGAGGCTGTCTTCATGACCTCAAAGGGAATGGACCATCACTACTGAATGTTCATTCTGCAGTATGACAGCTTGAATGATTTACAGTTAATTAGCGTAAATCACTTTATCTTTGATTTTCAGGGTCTCTCTCCTCGTTTGCTTGGTACCTGGCCCAAGGACAGCTGGGTAGATGCTGTCAGATGATAGCCATTGTTCTAAACCTTCTGGGTAAGACCATCGAGTCTTACTGGTATGTTAAGATGTTTCCAACTTTCGGTGGAATTCAGCTGACTCCTGCCCCGATCACAACGATATACAAAAAATAGTGCTTAAAATAAAGGCTGCTCTTTGATTGTAGGAAGGGTGATTTAACTTCAGGGCATCTGTTAGGAATATTTCAAGTATTCTCTCAGCACCTAAAGGTTGATATTTAACTACATTATCCATTAGCTGCCTAGGTCCTGTACTGTAGGTGTGAGTAATGTATTCCCCTGTGATAGGAAACTTGCTGTCGCCAGGAGATTTTACAAGGCAATGACCCGTGTGTGCTGCTTCCTTGTGACTCTGGAGAGGAAGCTGAGGGCACCAGTATGAGTCTCGGGCACTGAGGCCGGCGCATGGAAACAGTCACTCAGGCTAATTCAAGGCAATGACTATTCAGCGCCCACTCTCGCCTTCCGTGTTTTCTGCAGTGTCTACAGGGGGGCGACTTGTGAATCCCAAGTGGAAAGCAACCCTCAGGCACATCGTTCGCAGAGACAGACGGTGGAGAAGAATACAAACTGTAGTACCTATCATTACAGCCTCCACAAGCTGAATACTTCCACATGTCATTTGTACTGGTACTGTAGCGCTTTCCTGAGGTGGGTTAAAAAATGGGTTATGACCAGGGAGACTAAAGTACTAGCTGAGAATAATTGTTGATTTTAGAGCAGAGGTTGGTTGAAATGAAGGGTATTTGTTCTTTACAGGTGATTTCTGTTGACTCAGTAAGCAAAGCTTTATGTAGATACTGTACGAGATGTGATATCGATGTTACTTTCACAGTGGTTTCAGTCTCTGAAGTATCATTTCAAAGTACTGCTCAGACTCCCCTTTTGGAAGTCTGCTTATTATGTTGGGAATGAGATAATTTAAGGTTGCAGTTGTGTTGATTATGTTGTCGGGAATGAGATAATGTAAAGTTTGAAACTGTGTGTCTGCCAAGTGGCTTGGATTAGCAGCTCACACCACAGCCCTTCTGTTTTGTATAAAGACACAAAGGACATGGGAGGCCCTCACGTTGGTATAAAGGGCAATGCATGGCTTGTAGGGGACTGGAATAGCTGCAGTATTCATCAGGCTTGTCTGGTGTTTTGTTGCCACTCGATCTAAGACTGTGATCCAACCATTTCTTGAAAGAAACCAGGATATATTTTGTAACGTATAAGAAAACAAACACATCTAATGTACTGGAAATGTAACAAATATATAATATAAATTGACTATAGATAAATAATATTCTAGATATGCAAGCTTTATTTATGCATCTACTGTATTTCGTAAAATATGTTCTATATGTATAGCAGAATGTACCATAGGAATTAGACAACACATGCTAGGATGTCTGCTATGGCAAATATAGGTGGGTATTTGTATGTTTTCACATTAAAAGAGAGTGAGGATACAGAGCAGGACGTTACCATCCGTGGGGTAGCAATATTCTTGTACTAGCTCGGGTCAGAGTGTGGTGCAGACGAGGTTAATTCTGGGCTGGGTGAAAAGGTGCTGACTGAGGACTAACCAGGCCCTAGCTTCTGTCCTCCAAGCTTTGCTCTTCTCTAGCCATTGCGTCAAGATAACTGTGGACTGTTTATGGGTTGGTGGGGGGGGGGAGGGGTCACATTATACCTTATACAGTAGATAAGATGCCTTATCTTGGGAACAATTCAGTAGCAAGTTCACGTCAGGCAAAACGCCTCCGGGGCCGCCGGCCGCCGTCTGCTCTGTGGGCAATCTGTTTGTTTGTGTGCTCAGAAGAGTGAGGGAGGCAGGGCGCTCGACTCCAGAGGGCTGAGTGCTGGGTCTCTCTTGTTGCGGTGCCCTGTGCGCTCCGCTGCTCCGCTGCTCGGGGCTGGGGGGGATGAAGTACACGTGGTGGTGGGAAGCGAGGAGGAGGCGGATAATTTGGGGTGTATTGGGGGGGGACGCATTGTGTTTTGCGGCCCGAGCGGCTGCGAGGGTGGAGAATGAGGTCTCGCCATCCCAGCAGGGTGGGGAAGGGGAACCCTCGACCCCTAGAGATTCTTTTTCTCCTTACTAAGGAGTTTTTGGTTCCTCTCCTCCATAGTCTTCTGGTCTTTTCTGTTCTGTATCCACATGCTTGGTCACTTGCGTTGTTAAGCCTTGTTGTGAAAGGCACTATATAAAAATCAATTGAATTGAGTTGAAACGTAGCCCTGCTGTGGCTGGTGTCAGCGTCTCTAACAGAGAAAACGGGGGGAGCGTTCGGCACTAACGGCACAGCCGAGGGCTGGCGAGCTCCTAGCCCCCTGCTAATCGAGGACATCAGTCTTCCTTAGCGCAGGCAGTGCAAGGGTAGGGCCAGACAGACGCGCTGTGACTGAGCCGTGCTGAGAGCTGCAGCCAGTGTTCAAGGAGGCTTTGTTCATCACCCGACCAAGTCGGGTTTTTATTCTTCTTGGCTGCTTTACTGTTGTGGAAAATTACCAGCTTCGGTCGGCCTCGTCCGTTCCTCGCTGCCTGTGCTCGGGTTTTACGATGTTTTTACTTTTTTTAAAAATAACATCCGCCTGGCAGTTGCATAATTTCCTCCAGCCCAGGGGGCGTGCTGCGTTCCAGGATAGCGGAGGGGCGCAGGAGGGTTTATTGCAGTTTCCAGCTCCCAGGTGCTCTGCGTGCCTGTGCAGTCTTTCTGTTTGCACATTGGTAGGCATGAATGGCTTTGTGCAGAGGCATATTCAGTGTCGGCTTTCTCTTTTCAAGATGGCAAGAGCAATTTGAACCACACCTATCACCTACCTACAGTAATTCCCAGTGGCGCCGCTACCAACAGTAAGCATCTTCTTTCAGCCTCCAGGCCATTTTCCAGCTCTTAAATTGCCAGATCCCCGGGAAGCAAAACCCAGCATCTCCTTTAAAAGGAGATGCAGAACAAGCAGGGCACATGGTTCCTGTCTGCTGCACAAGCTGTCTCTGTCGGCTTTAATCTTAAAGAGCAAGTGTGGAGCTGGAATGTTCCGCCAGCTGGAGACTTGCTCCAGAGCAGAGTGGTGCTCCGGGTGGCTTCAGCCTAGGGAGCTGCAGCTCATTCAGCCCTGAGCTGTGGCACCTGAGGCTGTGCTTTAAATAACACAGGAGCGTCTCGGGCCATCCGACTGAAGAAGGGTAAACAGTACGTATCGGCTGTTCAGTGATAGTCTCAGCACTCCCTTTTCCCCCTTCCACAGACATGCACTGTGGCCGTTTTACCTTTCTAACACCAGGCGTGACGATGAAACACTTTCTCCACTCGAATGCTGTTCAGATCACGCCCTTCCAGCCTTGTGTAATTTTTGTAGGGCAGCTGATTTGCGCTTTGCTGGCCCGGGTTTCAATAAGTGTTGAACGTTATCGCTGCCTGCGCACTCTTGATAGTTCCTGTTGAACTTGATAAAGAACATCATAAAAAAGGGGAGGCACTGTACTTAAAATAGTCGAGCTTGGGAAAACTTAGGTATTGGGGGAAACAGAGATTTTTATTACACGATTATAGATAAAAAATGCTATGACATTGCATCATACAGCCTGAATGCAGAGGGCTCAGTAGCACAGCCTGTGCAGCCTTGATCTGATCTTTACTTATTACGCTAATGATGGGAGATAACACCAGGAGATGCAGTAGTTGGTCACAAGCAGGTTGTAAAACTGTCCGTCATCAACAGCAATCAGTTAATCGGTAAGATCTACATACATTCCTGCCTGATCATTCACCTTACCAGGCTTCAGCTGGAGTAGAAGCTTGTTCTGTTACAGACCTTTGGTTTATACTCAGCTGTATGCGACTGTAGTGATTCCTGGATCAGTTTGTTCAGGCTCTGTTCTGCAAATTTCTGATCTGAAGTTTTCCTTTTTGTGTGTTTCTCATTGGACGACATCTAAAAGACACCAGAGTGCAGTTCCCCTGCCTCAGCTTTCTGTCTGGCACCGGGTTCGGGTCCTGTCTGCCTCACAGGCCGTATTTCGACCCTGATATGGAGAAGGTCCTGTGTTTTTCTTCCTGTGTGCAGGGCTGCTTTCTTTCACACTTGGAAAGGCTGACCTACCACGGACTGGAATTAATCCCTACCTCGCTCAGCTGCCGGGTGTTCTGAGGTGAGTCACAGGGCTGTCTGTGCCAATTCCTCTGCAGGCGTAGGATACTAAACCACCTGACCTGAAATTACACACAGATCCCACAGAGATAATCACTCCTTTGCTGTTTTGCTCCATAATGACAACACGCTGGCTGATCCAAGCATGGCCATGTTCTGGAGTACACAGTAGCTGCACGCTTTAGACAGCAGACACTCTTAAGTACTTCCAGGTGTAAGGAGGAGCATGAAGTGTGATTTCTGCACTGGCGTCCGAATGGGGTCTTCAAGGTGTCTGGAGGTCATGTACAAACGCAGATGCGTCCTGCAAAAGTGGTGCAGGACCTTTGTTTCTTTTCCCCACTGGGAGATATGGGCACACACACCTTAACACCTGCTGTGCCTAGGAATTGTACACAGGGACCAGCAAGGAGGGGTAATGAGGAGACTTTTTTGTGACCATCTTCACAGTTTAAGGGAGGCCGCATCCAGTGGAGAGCAGCCGAGCTGCACACAGGTTGGTCAGGCTGGGGAGAGGGCTGATTTGGCTCTGGATCACAGGACTGAATATTAAAATATTAAAATGAAAAAACAGGGCCGTCAGATCCCAAAGACACTTTCATACATACAGTAGTATTTGTATTCTTGTATACCACCCATGCAGCGGTTTGTCACAAGAAGGAAAATGTGTAATTCCCAAGGCTTGCTGTGTAATTCCCAGCAAGGTGAGGCGGCCTGTACTGTAAGTCCAGCATTTCTGAAGGAGCTCCTGGAATGCAGCTGGGATATGGTACTTCAAAACCTTCTCAGTTCTCCAGGCTCTGTTGAAGCTTAGCTTTGAAAAGTTATTTTTCTGTGTTCTCTGTGCCCGTGTTCCCAGTAGTCCCGTCAAGCACGCGAGGCCGAGACCTGCAGGGGCAGCAGACGGAGCTGTGCCCCCGAGTGCCAGGCTCTCCCCGACGCCCCGCGCGGACCCTGCGGCTGTGATGCGCTGAGAAGATGTCGGACAGCGCCAGCAGCGTGGCCGAGGCCCAGCCCCTGAAGGCGGAGGAGAGGGAGGGCCCGCCAGCCCCCCAGAAGAAGCAGGGGGGCTGCCGGGCCGGCTCGGGCCTCTCGCGCCTGTCCCACTGGCGCACGGCTGCCTTCTTCCTCTCGCTCTTCCTCTGCCTCGCCATCGTCTTCGCCTTCTCCTTCATCATCCCCTGCCCCGTGCGGGCCGTCTCACTGCGGACCTGGAACAGGACCTTCGCCGACGCTGGTGAGCCGCGAGGACAGTGTGCGGATCGCGTGTGCGGATCGCGTGTGCGGATCGCTGCTGCTCCAGCAGTGGATTCTGCTGGTTGGCATTCTGTGTTGAAAGTGTGCTTGTCCACGTCTGTTGTCTCACTCCTGGTCGTGCATCCCTCAGGTTTCACAGGGGTGTTTAACTGTATATTAAAGATCAAGTGAGCCTAATTGCCTAATTAGGCCACCGATTGGTTCAGTGAGGTCAACATGGCCTGCTGGGACTGAAAGGCTACTCACTGTCGCTCTCCAGAACCGAGCTTAGGTGCTGGTGATTTATGAGAGCCACAGTCTGCTCATGTCATCTTGAGTAGCTTTCTGTGCAAAAGGGGCTTCTTTGTGTTGTTCTCTGTCTGAAACGCATCTTTTTTTTTGGCCTTAAACAGGAGCGTACAACTTTCTGGCAATAATGGACGTCAACAGAGACAAAGTTATGGACGTGGTTTTTGCCTACAAGGACTCGACTGGCAGCCTGAATACAACGTGCAGCGATAAGAGTAAGAGAAAAAAAAAACCTTTTCTCTCTCTCTCTGTGAATGTACAACGCAAAACGGGTTGTTTAGATTGGAGCGCTTGCTTGGAATCAGACAGGTCATTTCCGATGTGAGAATGAAGCGAGAGAGGACGCGCAGCCCCTGTGTTTGCAGTCGAATTGTTTAGAACTCTAGTCAATAGAATTGTTCCCACAGCAGTAGACTCCCCGGGGGCCTCCCAGTGCATCAGCAATGTCAGTAAACAGGTGTGTCTGTCTCTGGGTTATTGCAAAAAAAAAAGCACAGTTAAAAATCAGAAAATCAGTAAGCTGTCTTGCCCCCTTTACAAAGTCAGCAGTCATCTGATTCTCCAAGGGATTCCCAGCCGTGGGCATAGAGTATCCCTGTGCCTTCCCTGTGCACTGCGAGACCCCAGAATGGAGAGGGCCTGGGTAACTCCAAGCCCAGTACTGTGAGACCCTGTCCTAGAGCCTGGCTCACCCATGAACTCTTTCACTGGCGTATGTACAGTCCATAAGCCACACCACACCAATGCCAGGTGTGGAACAGGAGATGTGGGAAATATCAGTTTCCTCATTTTGCCTCCAAGCTAGCGCCTTCAGCGGGGCGACCGCTAGCCGTGTCAGCTGAGCGGGCGCATCGCGGCTACCGATGTGCCCGCTGCTGGACCGCGCACTGTCCCTGATCTGTGTTCTGACCACTGCTCCCCTGGTCCTTGTGTGTGTGTGTGTGTTGCAGATCTGTCCTCCCCTTGCGTGGTCTTGGCCGCGGCGTCGGGGACAAACGGCAGCCCGCTGTGGGAGCGCCCCCTGGAGGCGGAGCTGCGCTGGGCGCAGTGTGGCGTGGAGGGGCTGGGGGGGCTGGACACGGCAGGCTGCCTGGTTTCGCACTCCAGCTTCCTGACGGCCGTCGACCAGCACCGAGGTAGGGAGCCTGGGCTGCGCTGAGGTCCGCACGGGCAAGGGGGTTCCTCAGTCAGACACTGGACAGCGATGACTTCTCAGTGTAAAAGATTCCTTTTATTTGTCTGGATCGGCTGCTGTCCCTTTCAGTGTAATGTGAGCAGACTGAAACTACACAACCTGCTGATTATGTGATTATTTTGCTTTTAACTTTGTATCGCGAGCGACCCGCTGACCTCGCCTCCTGTGCCCTTCGCGACGCCGGCGGGTCTGTCGTTTCCGTCCCGCGGCACGGCGGTCCTGCGCAGCCTTCAACGTGCCCCCGAATGTTTACGCCCGTGCGCCGTTTTCAGCGGGGGGGGTTCACATCATGTTCAAAAGGGCCATAATTTCAGACGCGTCTTTGCGCAGAGTCCGTGGGGGAGTGTGGAACAAGCTGCCCAGCCAGGTGGTTGAAGTTTCCTCTGGATCCATTTGAGAATCAGCCGTCCGTCGAAGTCGCGAATTAATCCCAGGATCTCAGTGGGAAGGGATCTCCCACTGTGCGCCACTAGAGGTCCCTCTAGCTGTCCCCTCTCTGGCTAATTCCAAGAGAGAAGGTGTATCGGCACCACAACTGCGAGTGGCTACACATGGGCTCTCTACCTCAGCCAGAGGGGCCGAACCTCCGCCGGTGAAAAGGCAGCCAGAACTCCACACTGTTACACTGCCACACAGGCCAGAGGGGCCCCTCGCTTGTAACCTTCGTTTGTGTTCCTAATAAAACCGATGTGTGGGGAGCTCACTGTCCATCGGCATCCGTCTGATCTGTGAGAATAAAGTCAGGAGGACAGACGAGAAGCCTTCCCCTGGCAGCTGTTCCCAGCAGTCTGCAGGGCGCTGAGTGTGCAGGCAGCAGCTCTGGGGCTCAGGGGGGGCCGCGTGAGGAGCAGTGAGCTGCAGGGCAGTGCTGGGGGGGGGACGTGTGGGAGGACGTCGCTGTGTGATGCTGTGTGTTTCTGCTCTCAAGGACAGGTGTTGTGGACCGTGCCCGGGCCTCCAGGGCTGGACCTCCAGCTCCCGGTTCTGACTGCTCCGGACCTGGATGGGGACGCGGTGCAGGACGTGGTCCTGATCGGAGTGACCCAGAACATGGTAATGAAATCGAAGAGAGGCAGGGGATTGGCGAGGGCCAGGAATGAGAGACCAGCAGCTGCTCGGTCCCTCCCTCCTGTTGCTGAAAAGAACCGCGTGGTACCAATAGTGACAAGATTAGCATCCATAGAACAACCGGGCCGGGTCGACACTGTGATAACGTGATCGGTTCTGTTTGCTCAGGGATCGGATGCCCCAGCCAGGGTCTGCAGGTGTCCAATTCAACTGAGCTCTCAGTCATCCGACTCTTCTTCCCCAATGGAACCTGTTAAATTGATTTTGGTCCTGTGGTGTTGGACCTGCGGATTCTTGCAGTTAGTGTAAAATCTCCAGCCGTGTCACAGGTGAAAGCAAGAGTGGTTGTCCCTGCGGTAGCAGAGACGACAGCTGGGGCAACTTGAGTGAGATACTGGGGCTCATGGGGCCCCTGTGAGCAGGGCTGGGGTGTCCTGCCTGAATTGGGCTGACCAGGAGCACGAGTGAAGCCTGGGCACCTCTTGGGGGCGGAGCGATCGTGCTCTGCCCTGTGTGCTGTGTGTTCGGTCTCCAGCTGCCGAGACCTTCTCCTGATTCTCCCTTTCCTTTCCGTGCCCCCGCAGACGAAGGCCATCATTCTGTCGGGTAAAACGGGCAGCGGGATGGGCGCGGAGGTGGTCCTGGAACAGGAAGCAGTATCGGGACACCTCCTACACACGACCGAACGGGGCGCCCCCTACGTGCTTCTCCAGACCGGTGAGCACCCTACTGCGGGGCTGGACTAGTGGCACGGTCACGAGGATCTTGTCACGCCAGCCTTCCTGTTCTCAGACTGAAAAATAAAGCATACCTCGTGTCCGATGATTAGATAAACCACAACCTGGCAGGTATTGATTTAAGGAACAAACACCTTTTGTTTAGGGTTTTTGTATGAGTGTAATTTGTCACCTGTTTCACCCCCTGCTAAAGCTTAGTAGAAAAAAAAAAGCTTTGCTTGTGGTGATCAGTTAAAGAATAACCGAGTTATCACAGGCAAGGTGAGTTCTCTCGGCACGACTCCGTGATGATTTCTGACCTTATCGCACGACTGCTTGCTGCCCCGCTCCCTGTGCTGTGTGATAGGATCTGGGGTGCAGGGGTACGCGCTGAGGACCATCGCCGCCCAGGCGGAGGAGGGCAGCGAGACGAGGCTGAAGACGGACTCGCAGTGGGAGGCCAAGGCCGGCCCAGGGGGGCGTGTGCCCGTGGACAGGTGAGGTGTCAGCCAGCGCCGAGGCAGGCTTTCCCCATGATGCTATTTTCCTTTGTGTAGCGGCGTGAAAGGGGCACAGGGAAGGCCGTCTTTGCCCTGATTTATCTGTGTTCCAGTTCCTTTGCCTGCAAAACCTAATACCGTTGTGTGCCTGCATGAAGCCACTGCTTCCTCTTAGATGAAAGAAAGAGAGCAGCAGGATCAAAGCGGACATGACTGCATTGATCTGGGGCGCGGTGATTTGAGAATGCAGTCACTGAAGTGCGAACCTGTGTCGGAGCTCGTCTCCCGCACCCGTTCTGGGGGAGGGGAAATTTCCGAGGCATCCCCGTACACTGAGCAGCCATTAACGGGCGAAGTGCTGGGTGGCGGATGCATGCTGCTCTATGCATCCTGCTGAGCGGCTCGACACCGCCCCCCTGCAGGTCCAGCTCGGTGCGCTACCTCACGAAGGCGGCGCAGAGGAGTGGGGTCCCGCACTTGCTGGTGGTCACCGCGGAGCACACCAGGATGATCCACGGGCAGAGCCTGGAGACGCAGTGGACGGTCAACGCCAGCGGCGTGCTGAGGTAGGCGCAGCGCGTGGAACCGGGGAGCCCCTGCTGTTTCGCCCCACCCTCTGCCATGCCTGCGCTGGTGCAGCGCTGCACCCAAGCCACAAAGAGGGACACTGGAGCGCCAGGAACGCCCTTTGCCCTCGGGCGGAGAATATCGGCACTGCACCACCCGCTTGGAGGCCAGGGAGCAAGCCTACCTCGCAGGGAGCTGTTAGTGACACAAGCCTGGCATGTCGGGGCACTGTGGTGTGGTGTGGGGCTTCACTGTGGGCAGCACTGTGGAGCACTGGTCGGGGTCCTGGACTCATAACTGGAGGGTTGTGGGCTCGGCTCCCAGGTGAGACACTGCTGTTGTACCCCTGAGCAAGAATGTGAACCTGAACTGCTCTAGTAAAATACACAGCTGTGTAAACGCATGGATGGGTAATCCTCTTTATAGGTTACTCAGCCAAACACTGTAGGTGGGTAATTAGTAACTAGAAAGTCCGTCCAGCTGGGCACCGTGCTGGGGCTTGGCCACATCGCCTCTGTGAGGGAGTCTCGCATTCATCAGAACAAATTTTCCGCGTCTGCTCCTCCAGATTTCCAGTCTACACATTCCTTTTCTTTTCCTACGTTTCCTTTTTCTAGTGAACCGTCTTTTGGATACTTCAGCCGTGACAGCAGGGATGAGACCCCTGATGTGGTGATCGAAGCGGACGTTGGCCACGGCATGAAGAAGGTCAGTGCCCTGAGACGGAACGAAAGGCGAGGCGATATTGCAAGTCATGCTGAACAGACGTGAATCCGACGGCGCAGGCAGGGCACCTCTTTCGACATCTGCTGGCGAGCTGTGGTATTGCAATCCCTTCCCCCCAACCCCCCCCCCAGCGCTGCTGGCCTCACCACGGGCCTGTCTCCACCCCTGCCTGTTAAAAATATCCACGCCCGGGCCCTCTGGCGATTTCTGTGGCATGTGATTCTCTGCCAGCTTTTTTTTTCCCATAAAAGGGATTTTTTTGTTGTCGTTATTTGAACCCTTTTTTTTTTGGTCGTCGTGAGAGGTTATTTTTGTCATAACAAACACACTTATATGAGAAGCGAAACGGGAGTCAGTGCGATGAGCTTTCAGATCGTGGGAGGTCTAAAAAGCTTGGAGAAGACACGACAAAGAGACAGACTCCCGGGGCTCTTGTGAGCCAGGTGTGGATTGTGTAGCTGCGGTGTCTTCCGGAAGGACCCGTGTGCCTTGTGCTCGGGCTGCACGCTGGACCCTCAGTCTGACCGGGGCATTGCTGCCGGGCGTGTTCCTGTGTTCCAGGTCCTGATCCTGGATGGGAGTTCAGGGGCCGTGCTGTGGGAAGAGACGATGGTTCACCGGGCCGGCAGCCCCAGACCAGCCTCCGTCAACACGCTCAGCTACAACTCGGTGTTCGTGTTCTGGGGAGCCGCGGCCAGGGGGAACGGCACCTCTGTGAGTACAGCAGCCTGGGCGAGGTGCCCGCCCTGCAGGGGGCAGTACAAACTGACCACTTCCACCTATATAAGAGAGGCTGCCGACAAGAGGAGGCCGTCTTGGAAGAGGTGTTAGTGGGGCCAGCAGGGGGCGCTCACCCTGCGGTCCATGTGGGTCCTAATGCCCCAGTATAGTGACGGG